TAATGACCAAAAAACTTTTATCTTCATATAACTTATATTTTGTACATTCCCAAAACATTAAACTTTATCCTACATTCCTTTAGAGATACCTATGTTACCTCTGAAGCAACCAAAGCTTCAGAGCTCCATGGGAGATGTAGCATTCTGAGCAATATATCTCTACTTGACTTTTCAGATATAAACTGGCAATATATTTTTCCATGGAGTATATTAATTTGCACCACCCCTAAATTATTAGAACACTATCTGCAAATTTGCATCATATTTCATATGATGAAACAACAGAGACATTTTGTACAAGCCAGAATATAAACTGTGGACTCATTTGATTATCTAAAAAAACTTACCTAGTTTCAGATTTATCTGTAGTAAACTATTTTCAATAAAGCTATAACCCATTCATACAACCCATTCATACCCAATAACAAAATGAAGAAGAAGTCAGCATGCTGTATAGAGTATCCTGTCTACCTTTCCTGAAATATCATGTAAGTTATTTGGCATAACAGATCCATAAGAGAATAGTTCCTCTTTTACTACCTACTTTCCTAATTATGCACCCCTCAGTTCTCTTACTGAAGAAAAAAAATCTTTGTTCAGAATAAATGATACAACACCAATAAAACTACTGAATTTGAAAAATATTTAAGAAGAATAATAAACATAGATCTTCCACATACACACATAGCTCTCCTCTATCATAAGAGATATTTAACAAACAGATGATCCTCTAACTTCATGGGAAGAGAAAGGAACAGGATTTTAAAATATGTGTATTTTCAGAAAGTATTTTGAAGCAAGAAAAAGAGGCTTAATCTTTTAAGGAGTTACTCTTTGATGTATCACATCGCAAAAGAAAAAAAAAAGATAATAAACCTCCTTGAACTATTTCTTATTCTCAACATTATGCTTTTTTTAGGCATGTTCTCAAATACCTTTCCTTGAAAGTAGACTCTTGTTTAATATAAAATAGGATGTCAGTTGATCAATATCCATTTGGCTTACATTTGTAAGTCCACAACTTCCCTTAAGTGTTAGAACAAACAGGTACAAAGCCTGAAAATTTATTGTTTCTTTTTAAACTCCAAATGATATTTGCAGATGCCAAAAGGCATTTTGAAATCACTCACCTTATATCAGTAAAAATGAAAAAGGGTGATGGGGAGGAGGGAGAATCCTCATGAGGCCTTACATGTCAAGTTTTTGCCCAGAGCTAATTTTCATAGCTATGTTACAAAAGCCCAAAAATAGAGGTTTATAATGGAAAGGCTGACAGACCTTTAACACAGCAGCACAAATGGATATAATTAAAGAAAAGCTTTTGGCTACACCTAACTCCACAAATGAAAGACTGCCACTTTTATATTAACCTCAAAGAACAGTAAGTGAGAACTAGAAATGGGATTCCAGAAAGGTAATGTGAAATGTTAAACATAACTGCTAAAACTATTTGACATTCGAAGGTTTAAACACAGAGGCATTTAGTTAACATAACCAAGTCAGTATTTTCATAATGCTACTTAATCAGCAATAAAGAATGCTCTGGTGAGCCATCAGCTCCAGTTAGCACAAAGTGGCACATGAAGTTATTATTTCTTTACAGCCTAGAGGGAGCTGCTTCTGCTGTTAATCAGTGATCTTAGTTCCTTCCCACCTATAATTTTTCTGTCATACAGTTACAAAACTATTATCCCGTTCAACACACACACATTTATGCAAGGACTGGTAACCTTATTCCCACCTGAATTTGAAAACAGAAGAGATTATTAAGGTAAAGTATTTCATTCTTTTTTTGGCAGGGATGCAGTCAGGAATTAATATCATCAATTTGTGTAAGCCATTTTCCCAACCTAAACCAAAAATCAAAGAATTAGCTCTGTTCTCAACTGCAAATTTTTTTTAAAAACCTATCTTTTTTAGAAAATATCTAAAATGTTTTTGATTTTTCTGATACTATTAAAAGTAAGCATAATACTTAAAAGATGGCTATAAAAAGATCTTCAATGAAGTTCTAGATTTTGGATTAAGAAATCTGGAACAAGTCTTTATGATCAAATTGCTAATGGACTTTTTCTTGTTCTTTCCTCCCTTCTTTCTTTTAAGGTAAACAATTCTGCATGATCTCTGAGGATTTCCCCCAAAAGATTCCAAAATGAAATACTGGTCTCTCTTCTAGCCCTTGGAAGTGCTACAAGTTTATGGGATGAAATGAAACTATCTGAGTCACAGTTCTTTTATTATACAATGTGATCAGTTTCATTGAAAATGTGTGCATATTGCTATGCAAGCTTCAGAAATCTAAAGGCCACAGAACCTAAAGCATAACAGCACTCATAAAGAACTGCACATTGTGCACCATTCTTGTTCAAATACTAACCTCATACTTCCATTAAAACTGCTCTATAATTTTGGCAACAGAAGTAGCACATAATTTGATGTTCTTTTATAGCAACTGTTTTCAATCATAGTTGAGCAGTACAAAATAAAGCCAATCATACACTTATATGTAAGGAATCCAATGTTATAAACATAAACATCAATGTCCTTTTTATAATTTATAGACACATACCCCATTCTCCGACTCCCAAAGATAGCGAACTATAAACTTACTCTAGACCCAGTTAAGAGAAACCTCTACTATTAACAGAAACTTACTTTTGCCTTATATAATCCACCGTCTTCATTATTGCTCTTGATTCCTACCTCTGTACTTCTGAATAGTAATCCCCTGGGTTAAGAGACATGTTACATTTTATAAGATTGCAGTACTTTTCTAACTCCTCAAATGGCTTGGCTCTAATGCTAAAAGACTTTTACTAAATTGAATTTTAAAGAGCAAAATTTAGTTCATATTGCAAGGAGTGAAATTTAGGTAGTTGATTTGGTGTTGACAAATCAAGTATTATTGTAAATAAAATGTGATTTACTTTTCCCCACACTTCTTGATTAATTTTTCTGAATGATTCATGAACTTGCAAAATCATAAAAACAAAGTAATTGATAGTCCTTCAAAAAGCAACCATTCATTTTTAGTAGCAAAAGTAAAAGAAAGAAGCACTCACAAATACACCAACAATGGTAATAATTCAAGTTTGCGAACAGTTGTAGATTTCACTTGTGTACTTTCAATTTATAAAAAATGTAGTAAGGTGGTTAGTTTGGGTTTATTTACTTATAATCTGTCATAAAGATGCAGTAAGAAGGCAGCCTTAGTATAGTGGGTTAGAATCTGAGTACCAGTTCTGAGGTTTAATGAGGTTACTTTAGATAAGCCACTAAGTTTCCATTTTTCACCTATAGATAGAAATGGAAGAGTTAGTAAAGAAATAAAGTAGTTGTAAACTAATTCTTTCAAGAATTCTCATTTTTCTAGTAATTCTAATTTTACTTTTGAAAAACTAGCAAGAAATGTTCCAGTTAGGAGTGGTTCAGACTAGCTCCCTCTTTTTCCTTCTTGTTTGGCAAATTAGATAAATATGTTTAGACAAACTGAAACTGGAATGAAAAAGGTGGAAATTTCTAATTTGCCCAGGAAGTACTAGGAAGCGCTGTTTACTATGTATTAAAAAACTGAACAAACAAAATAAGTTAGCCTTTGGGTAAAGTGTAAAATCTGTTAATAAATTCTGCTAGACTAAAATCAAACATAGCTCATGCGGAAGATCCATATAATTACTAATTTTCTTGTAAGTTGGTATTAGTTTGCTTATCTATCCATCTACCCGTCCACAAATTTGAGGGCTTTAAGATTACTGCTCTAATATTCTTACACTGAAGAACAAGGGTACAATTACTGTTCAAGAACTCTAGCTAAGGAGGTTGGGTATGGTGGTTCACCCCTGTAATGCCAGCTACTGGAAAGTTAGGAGGCAGGAGGGTTATGGTTCCAAGCCAGCCTTGACATTAGACTGGACACATGAGACCCTATCTCAAAAAATAAAATAAAATAAAATCCTAAAAGCAAAACAAAAGGAGAGTGTGGCTAAGTGGTAGCCTGCAGCCCTGAGCTCAATCACCAATATCACTACAAACAAGCAAAAACCCCTCTAAATCCTTAAACTGAAGAGAGCAGATGAATAAAAAATTACATAAAACCTAATAACAAAAACTGAAAACTTATGGATAAATCAGGATAAAGTAAATTAAGTAAGTTACTCAGAAATTTGGTAATGAATGAATTTCAAATATTTGGAAATTATTCCAACATTAATATTTCTAAAAAACAAAGGCAGGAAGAAGTCTCTTTGTTAACTGATTCACGATTTCAAATAAAATTGTATTTCTAAATACAACTTCTACATAATTTTTCAGCAGACTCTTATGAGTCTAACTCATAAGAACAGGTACTTGAAGGGAAAACTGTTATAAAAAGGAACTAAAGGCAATAAACATTGTCACTACTGTTCTTATCCATCATTAACTTTGGGTCTGACCGTATCTGTAAATTTAATATATCTACAAAGTTTATGTCGATCTTAAAACAATTAAGCTTTGTACATGTGATTGGGATTAGAGTATTACTATGTTAATTTCAGAATATATGGCTTCAGCAAGTATCTGATGCAGTTGAGGCAACAATTTTAAAGCGAACATTTAAAGAAACTTAATTTTTTAAAAAATAGTACAGTGGCCAGAACCTCCATATGGGCACAAAATTCCATAGGGTTGGTTCAGTAAAAGCAATCTCAGATTTGAGCTCACATTCCTGCTTAGAATATTCTTAACATTCTGATTGGTAATTGTACTCTTCCAGGAGGTAGTAGGGAAGAAAGGTCTAAGATGCATGATTCTGGGACTGCCTCAGAGCTGCTCGGAGTTTCTGTTTGCTGCCGTGTCTATGTATAAGCTTTCTTTTGAAGAACTACTGTTTGAAAAAATAGTTTGAAAACTGACGACTTATGCCAATGTAGCACTAAAACTCTTCCTTCTATAATTGCATTTCAAAGTTAAGTCAAAGGAGAACTTTAATATAAAATCAACATGATGATATTAAAAAAAATCTACCAATTAGCACTTTGTTGAAAAACATACCTGATTCTGGCCAGAACAGCCTGTAGAAAGCTCAACACTGTCCTAAGTTCAGCCCCTTGACAGGCCCGCAGAAGCATACTAAATCCATCATTGAGCAGATTTTCGTGGGAAGGATACAAGCAATAGCTGGTCTCAAATACCTCTTGAACACCATCAATATAGATGGAAAGAAGTGTCCAGAGAGCATGCCTCTGTACCATTTCACCATTCTTAGATACCAAGAATTCCTTTGCTTTTTCTTGGAACTCACATGAAAATTTCTTAGCCAAAACACCAATGTCCAGATTTTTCTGGGTATACATCAAGAGGAATGCCATTTGACCCTTCCAAATGAGAGCTCTTTGAGATGTGATAAAGGCAGGCTTCAGGAAATACAGGAGGTCTAAAACGTGACTTGCTACATCTTCTACCTCTGCAATAGCTGCTAACAGTAGAAAAAGGTTGAAAAAGTTTTGCAGACCAACTTCAGTTAGTTCCTCCATTCTTTTGTGATGGAATTTAGAATATATTCTGTAAAACACATATCAAAAAGCCCACTTTAATTAAATCATTCCATTAAAAAAAAATCGTGTCTTTTAAAAAAACTTTCCTTCAATAAAGTTTTAGCTAATTCTTTATTTTGATGTTGCCTTGTCATGTTTTCTATTTGGAAAATGAACTCATATAATAGTCCTACCTTCAAACTTCCCAGTGATGTAGCAAATCACTATAAGTGAACCATCTATGGCTTTTCCCAAAGGACAGTAGAAATGCTCTTTTCATATAGTACATGGCTTCCCCTTTTGAATTCCCATCAATTTTCTTTTCTTAGTATCATTTGCAAATAAGAAAGAATATATATTATTGTTTGAATCTTAAATGTTTTGTAAAGGCTCATGTGACTTATCAACAGTGTGCTGCTTGCTATTGGGAGGTGGTAGAACCTTTAAAAGGTGAAGTCTAGTGGGAAAGGGTGATGTCCCACATTGGATATCATCCATGTCCAATTTTTTTAGGACACTGGGTGAGAGACCCTAAGGGGATTAAACCTCTGGTCCCCTCCTCACCTTTTTTTTTTTTCCATCCCTGGCCATGAGGTGAGTGGGTGGTTTTGTTCTGCCATACACCTCTGCCATGATGTGCTAGCTCATCCAAAGCATCAGAGCCACTGGATCATGGACTGAAATCATTAAAACTATAAGCCAAAATAAACCTTTCTTTTCTCTCTTTATCCATCACACAGACCTGCTCCTACTTTACTTATACCTTAAGACAATTCAAACTGTTGGAAGATTTTTACCTATTGCAAAGAGAAATTGTTAGTGCTCAAATGTCTGACACTAATCATTAAGAAAATCTCTCAAATAGTACTTAAAACAACTTAAGAGTTGAACTTTTATTTCATCAGTTAAGGGCTTAGAATTGGTAACAATTCATCTTGAATTCCTACTTATGGATTGTTAGGTTTTGTAACTTCTATAATTGGTTTATTCAGAGCAGAAATAATTAAAGCTCATGAGAGGTTAAAGGTTAATTTTATAAAGAGCTATGTTAGAGCTGATATATTTCTGAAAGTAGAGTTCTGTTTAACTATCTTTGCATCCCCTCCCTAACATTCTACTATAGTGGCTGACATATTGTATTTGCCTAATAAGGAGACATTATTAAGTGAACTCCAATGATTTAGCAATGAAGTTCTGCACATTATGTCTTACATTAAAGTATTAAAGATTAAAAAACAAAATGGCCAAACAGAATGACAACAAAAAAAACTACTAGGGGCTGGGGATGTAGCCCAGCAGTAGAGTGTGTGCTTAGCACATGTGAGTAATTATGGAAGGTTTAATAAAGTAGATACCTAAAAAAAAAAAAAAAATGGATATCCTAAATAAAAAAATCAAAACTCTATAATAACTTTACAAGAATAACTGATTGTTGGAATCAAACAGGAATTTCACTAAATGATTCTTGAAAACCCCCTAGCCAGAACAGGAAATATTCTGTTCCCTGTGAGTCCCCACCAAACAAGTTGAGGAAATGGTAGGTGGTGGTACACTATAAAGAGGGCTAAAAACAGGGCTACTAAGCAAGGAAGTAGAACAAGGGAATGCAAGTAAAAACTGTGACCTTTAAACAAGGAAAATTCTCAAAACAAAAAGAGAATGAGAGAGAGAGAGAGAGAGAGAGAGAGAGAGAATGAGAGCAGGCAAATCTAACCAAAAGTTTATTTTACAACATATGAAAAGCATACTTTGCAAATGAGAACATTAGTTATCTGATTCTACTATACTCTGGTCAGTCTCCTTAGAAGTTTTCAAGGAAGAAATTGCTGGGTTCAAAGAACACAAAAAATTTATACATTTGAACCTATTAGCTGCCAATGTGCAATATGGAGGATTTTTTTTTTTAAATTCCTATCACTTTTAATAAAATGTATGCAATGGATTATACAGTATCATAATTTTGGTAAAAAACACTATTCCTTCCACAATAGTCCTGTATTTAATGAATGGGATTCCAATCTTCAATACTGATGAGATTAAAAAAAAAGAAACAAAACCCTCCACAAGTTATGAATAAGGGTGTTCCTTAATGTATCAAATTGGCAAGCTCAAAGAGCTTGGGAAGCATGGCACAAGTGGTAGAGCGCCTTCCCAGCAAGCAGGAGGCCCTGAGTTCAATCTCTGGTACCATCCCCCCAAAAAATATAAAGTAAAAAGAAAAAAAAATAAGGTTCCATACTTTGCTCTCTTATGTTAAGGAGATGTTTTAGATGTGTAAAAAGACTCTAACAAGAAGTTACTTTAAAAATATAAATAGTAACACTTCTTCAAAGGTATTTGTGAACATTCACGAAAAAGATACTGTACATACCTTCCTTTGACTTGTTTCCAAGGATGAGGGCCACTCTTCTTCATTGCTTTCTTGACAACTTTTGCCAAAATACAAAGAAAAATGGTATAACTACTGCTGGATTTATACAGATCATGATCTTGTTTATCACAACAGCAGGTCTTTACCATTTCAAGCATAGACAAGGGTGACTTGATGGTAGCAATGCATTTCAAAGGCAGTGAAGAAATACTAAAGGAACTATTCTAAAAGTAAAAACAATACACAGTAAGTATTAGTTCTTAGTTAATAAAATGGAAAGCTATAAATTCCAATTAGCTCATTAAAAGCTTGACTCATTTTAATTACAAAAACTACATTTCTATTACATTGTCACATATACACCAGAATTTAAAAATTCCATGAAAGCACAGAATTTTAAGACGTATTCAAATTTTGAATTGTCCCATAAATGTGTTTTTAACAGTTGGTTTGTCAAAATAGGATACAACGAAGGCCCATAGAGTATTAAGAAGATATATCCCGTAAAGATCTTTTATTCCATAACTCTCCCAATGTTTGTTATTACACTTTTTTTAATATTGTGGTATTGTACAGAATTTCCCATGTTCTAGATTTAGCTTTAGCTGTATCCTTCTAGTTCACATATCATTTTCTTTCATACCTATCTTTTCAGTAAATTGGTGATTGTGTCTAGAGGTTTGATCATTCATGTTGAATTATGGCAAGAAATTTTTATTGGTAGTACTGAGAATTTCCTATTGAATTTAGTGAAGAGGCCCATAAATCTGACTTTTTGTGATGTTAAATTAAATCAGATTATTAGCCTGATCTGCCCATTTTAATGTTCCACACCAGTCTTTCCCTGAATGGTTTTAGCAACCACTGATATTTACTATCCAGACACAAAACGTTCACTTTATATAATCTATCATTTCTATAAATAAGCTCACCAGAAATTTGATTACACTGAAATATTTACAGGTTTTAAAATGAAGCATTTTCTACTTTATTTTTTAAAGTATTATGAACTCAAGGACTTATACATATTTGATATTTTAATCTACTGCAATAATTATTCTTTCTTATGCTCAAATTTTCCTTCTTTGGGAAACAGGAGTTCCTTCACAGTTGCTGCTGTGTACTTTTGACATGTCTCTAACTTAGATACTTTTGGTGTTTTCTTGTGCTACAAAATACTGCTGACTCAACATTTACATATTTGCTTAAGACCTAAAATTGGTCATTTCTTCAACTAGTCTAACATTATACTTCAGAGAAAGGAATTAGTCTAATTTTCTTATAAGCTCCATTGTATACAAATCCAAATTTGTTATTTATTGGTAAATCTTCATTAGCATTTTTACCTTGATAAGTAAACTATTTATCCAAAAACCCAAACCTCCTCTTCTTTTCATACACAAGTGAATGCTTTAAATCTTTTACTTAAATTTTATCTTCCACATTCATCCTCTTCTTTCTAAACATATTGTCACTATTTTAGTTCTTAACCACACTATCATATGCACAAAAAACTATAAGGTACTAGAAACTTGTCTGTATACAACTCATTTACAAAAAACTGTTTCAAACACATAACTAGTATGTCATATTTTTGCTTTACAGGTAACCTGAATGAATGAGAATTCAACTGCACACTATCTTAAACCCTTTATAGTGTATCATTCTATATACAGGGTACCATCTTCATTTTCATCTCCAGTCTCTTATGGTCACTCCAGACCTATCATTCAGATCTAACAAAATTAAGAATAGATTATGCTTTTCCTCATCTCTATGTATCTGTCTACACTGTTCATTCAGCCTAGATGCTCTTTTTCTTCTGTAACTGCAAAATTCTACTCATCCTCAAGACCAAGTTAAAATATTGTGAGCTTAGGAAGTTTTCCTTAAGTTAAGACACTAGACTTGATACTCCTCCCTCTGGGGTCCATCATAGTATTGTAGGTACCTATCCACTAGTTAATAAGCTACTCAGGTGCCAAAAGTGTATGTTTCTCAGGACAGAAGAGCTTGCTGAATTTGTCATAAGCAGTAAATAATTATTAGAAAGCATTTATATATAAGGATTTAAAAAAAATCTTTCTGGTACAATTTTGGCTACTTTGTTTAGCCTCATTCTTAAAGAAAGGGGACACAAAATGTTGTCTCCCTTACACCAATCCTGTATAGACATTGTTTATTGTGTTCATAAAACTACTTATGAGCTACTCCAATCTACTTTGAACAAAAATTATCTTAAGAAAGACACAGCTCCTCATAAATAAACCATAAAAATGTCCCCCAGTATCACATATAAATTATTCAAATTCCTAGATCAAATCTATATTCTATGTACTTACCAGGTTCTTACTATAATATTCCCATAGAATGGTGACAATTGAAATATTTGGCTCCCAAAAATCACAAAGTGTCAAACAACAGTGAAGATACATCCGTAATTGATCCTCTGGTACACCATCCTAGGAAAATAAACTGAAGTTACAAAGGAGTAAATGGGCTCTGGCAATGTGAATACTATCATTTGATATTGTCACCTTGAGCTAAAAAGAATATGAATATATATCACTGAATCACAGCTATTCTCATATTCAGATTGGAAGGTCTAAACTGACCTAAGGTACATTTCTAAAAACTCATTTTACAAATCAGTAAGGTATTCAGATAATGGAAACTACATAACTCAGTTCAACTTTAAATTACTTAAAAAATATAGTAGGTATTTCATAGCTGAATGTTGTTAGAAACCCAAAGAACCAGAAATAAATCCAAATAGAAAAGTGGAAAAAATTAATAGTTAAGATGTACAAAAATTAAGATGGCTTGGTCATACTGAAGAACTTGGTAAAAATCTTTTATAGGATTATAAAAATTGTGCTTTCAAAAACTAGATGATTGACAGACTACATATATCTCAGCCTTTTAGAAGATGGTAGGAGTAGAAAAATGTAGATACTTTAATCTTCTATGATGAAATAACTACATATACTTGTTTAAAAAATGACACACTCCTGAATTGTAATCATTCAACAACTATATATAAAGTTTACTACATGCTAGGCACTAAGATACCAGGCAAACAGCAATGATTAAGTCAAACACACTACAGACAGTAACAGAGCTTATCCTTTGGCAGAGGAAAGGAGAAATGGAGAAACAAACAAGAAATTCAAACAATTTTAACTGCTGTGAAGAACAAAACAAAGCAGGATAAATGGCAGAGTCACTGACAGAGGATGGTAAAGGATCATAATTTTAGGAGACACAGTTGAGTTAAACGACTAAATGAGTAAGAACCAAATACTTAAAGATCTGGAAGAAATGCATTTAAGGCAGAAAAGAACAAATGGAAAGTAAGTCAGAGATAGGCAGGGACTGTATCTCATTTGAGGCTTTATTGGTCTTGATAAGAAGTTTGAATTTTATTTTAAATATTTTGTGAAGTCACTGGCTAGTATAAGCATAGGAGAGTCACAATCTGATTTGTTTAAAAATACTGCTTTGAATCATGCTCAGAGAATGAATACAGGGAATATGAATAAAAGCAGGGAGACCAGAGAGGAGGCAATTCAGTGAAACTCTAAGACTGCAATAAGTAGACAACTTTAGAGATATGTTCATAAAAGAGGCAAAAGTATTTGTTGATGAATTACACTAAGAAAAACTCCCAAGATTGGGCTTAGGAAAGTGGGTTGTTGGTATTATTTCATGAAATGGCAAAGAGTGGGAGAGGAGAATATGAGGAAAATGCACAGGCATCCAAGTGAAGCTAGGAAGCACAATTTAACAAATGGGTCGAGAGCCAGGAGAAAAGTCAGAGTTGTTGACTTAAATCTAGGTGTTAATACCATAATAATAGTTTTTAGAGCTAAGAGACTAGATTAGATTGCTTAAGGAAAGAATATACATGAAAAGTGAAAAAAAATCAAGAATTGAAAGTCTTTTCATCTTCTAACATTTAGACAGGGAGCAAATGCAAAGAGTCTATATGCAAAAACAAGTGCCAAAGAAACAGGAAGAAAATCAGTTTTCTGTGTGTTTCATTGTGTCTCATTCCTACACAGATGTTCACTCTCTATCATTCTCTCCTTTCCCTTCTCCCCTAGTCTCATCTTTGCCAGGAATTAATTCTTGATAAAAACAGACCCTTCCAATCCAAAAGAAAAGGAGTCTGAGAGTTAGACTACAAAGCAAATATGTTGGGAAATTTGAGGTGCAAAGATTGAATTCTCATCTGACTCAACTATCTTCTAAATGATTTATCATGCAAGATATTGAATTGAGTGAACTGGGGTAGAGTATGTGTTGAGTCCTGAGTTAAAGAGAAATTCTGAAATAAGTCATTATGGAGAAACTATTTTAAAAAACAACCGTTCCAAAGACTGCAACTTAAGACTTATGATCAAGAATTTAAAGTCAGACAAGGAGGTAAGAATGATTGATTTCCTCCAGCAATATTCAGCTACAGGTACGAGTGGTGGGCAGGGAAAGGCAAGTAAGACCTTTCAGGTTTAAAACAGGAATTAAGGAATTAAAGGTGTTTGTAATAGAGTAACTACAATAATGGGTTATGTAATCTACATTGTTTAAGGAGGAAAGTCAGGAAATGCAGGAAGAAAGAAAAATGGGGATGTGCAGAATGAAACTGAAAACCATGGAAAATAACCACAGGAAGAGGTGGTGAGTTTAGTATACTGATTTATCTTCAAGTGTCTGTCTATAAGCTCTCTCAGGGCTGGGATAATGTGCCCAGTACAGTGCCAGGTATAGTACTGATACTCTTGGTTTACAAAGGAGTCTCTGTACATATTTCATAAACAAGTCTGAGATTTGGGTCTGGTACTTTTTTTTTTTCACCAAGAAGTTGTGTGGCTTTGGAAAAGACATTCAACTTCTCTAACATGCAAACTCATTTAACCAAAAAAGACAAGATTCTGTCCATCATAAAAATTCTGATTTTATCATGAAAATATAAACCTAGACCTAAGTAAATATTATTTCCTATGACATACTACTGAGTTGAATTAAAGCACATTGATTTTATTATGTTTGCAAAGTAAAAAGAGCTTGGGTTACCAAAACTCATTTTGAAGGATTTCATTTTATTTGGCATGTGAAACTCATTTTACCATGTGAAATCCACAAAACATATTCAAACCACAAAAAGTAAAAAAGTTTGGGAAAAGTGAAAGGATGACAATTATGTGTCAGGTGTAAGTGGCATGTTTTACATGTGTTAGTTTACATATGTCTTTCATCCCAGTTTTATTACCTTATTTTACAAAAAAGGTCAGGGTTCAGAATTTTTAAGTAGCTTATCCAAGCCCACCTGGTTAGGAGCTAGGATGTATGATTCCCTACTCTGTTACAAATAGTATACCATGTCAAAAAACAGGAGAGGAGAAGAACAAATATTAAGTGGATCCCAGATTTGATCAAAATAGTGATTAGCATTCAGACCAAGATTTAAGTCAGTCTTTTTAAGTCCAGACCCCATGTTCTTTGCACGATACCCATTAAGAAATTAAATACAGCATTCTGGGAAATCTTTCTATTTTCTTTCTTATTTATTTATTTATTTTAAAACCACCTAGTGGCCACAAATTAAAATAAAAAGAAATGGCTGGGCACTGGTGGCTCACCCCCGTAATCCTAGCTCAGGAGGCAGATCAAAGTTCAAAGATCAGGAGGATCAAAGTTCAAAGTCAGTACAGGCAAATTAGTTGGCAAGACCCTATCTTGAAAATACCCAACACAAAACAGAGCTGGTGGAGTGGCTCAAGTGGTAGAGTGTCTACCTAGCAAGCATGAGGCCCTGAGTTCAAACCTTGGTACTGCCAAAATAAATACATAAGTAAATAAATAAATAGCTTGAGAAAACTATTCTTCACAGTCTGCAGGATAGGTAATCAGTCGGTGTGAATCAGAAAATGCATTCCTTTTGTTTGTCTTTGCATATAGTCAATTATAAATAACATTTGTTACATATTCTACATTTTCATGTTCTGTATATTTAACCATGCTTTCTTTTGAAGCATTTTCCCTAAATTTTTTAAATTCCCATTAAAAGGTGTTTGTGCACCAGTAAATCAACTGGTGATTTACTGAGAGAGGACTTTTCCATTTTGAAGTACAGATAGCCAAATCGAGAAGAATATACAATAGTGAGGAGCAGAGGAAGAGACATATGACCTCAGATTCACAATAAAAACTGGAGCTAAAATATGGTGGAAAGGAACATCTCAGTATACTGGTTTCTTGTCTTTTTCCTGTTAGTACTTACTGGAGAGGGAAACAACAAAAACTCTTTAGAAAATGGAGATGCTTCCCCTAAATATAACCAAAACAGATCTTGAAAGCAAATGCATTACTAGTTACATAACAGCAAAGAAGTGTTTAAATAGAAATAATGACGAAAAAGAGTTTTATTAAGAATCCTACAAAGTTCACTCCTTTGAGCTATTACATAGTGGAGTCAAACATACATAAATATTCCAATCCCAGTCCTGCTATTTTTTGGATATTTGGGTATACCTGAACAGGTTGTTCAACCTTGCTGCACCTCCAACTCTTAAGGTATAAAATGGAAACAATAATATAGTTATATTACTGAAAAGTCCAAATGGTCTCTTAATGATCAAATAATAAATGTAGCAAGGTTTATAATTTCTTAAGCTGATACATTTCCATTTTGTTGAGTTTTAAGCTCAAACCCACCTAAATATAAAGACATGTGAATCCACACCCCTGATTATACTTTTTAATAACTCAGAAGGCTTGTGAGTTTTTTTTCCATTCAACCTCTAACCTGGTGTGACTCACTCTCAGAGCCTGTACTACTCCACTCCTGTATTTTCACAAGCATTATTGGATGTCTGTGCATATCCTACCAGGAGTGTGTATGTATAGGAGAGAGGAGAGAGAGAGAGAAAGATAGAATGAGACTATGAATGAGCTATTTAATGAATATCCCATTTAAGGAATACAGTGTATCTGCTCCTGATAGTTGCTTTAGTCCTTTTATATGAAAACCATAACATTCTACAAATGTTTATCATTAGCACTAATGAATCTTAATCAGGATTCACTCTAAAAATTTTTAAAGTTCAACTATTCAATGAAATAAAATTAAACAATGTATATTCTACTTACTAATCTAAAAACTCAAGTATATGTTTCTGGAAAAAAATTCTCTCTGGCTAGACAAAACAACCTAAAACATCATTTACTTATTTAAAACTATAGTGGAGTGCCTACCAATTTTATCTAAGACTATCATATCTATTTAAAATACCTAGCATCCATAACAAATGGACTCTTTCACCATTGGAGGTCAAGTCAAAGCACATGGGCACTGTCAGATTTTAATTTACCTCAATGTGGGGAGTGGGAACTAGATATAACCAAACTTATTGCTCAATTTCAAAACTCTTATTTATTCTTTACAACCACTTATTGCACCCATAAAATTGTTTAAATAGAAATAATGACTACTTCAGCATGTAGTCCTATACTACTTATAGAATATAAATAGATTCAACAAAGACACAATAAAACTGAAAGAATACAATACAGAACCAGAGAACTACTTGTTCCTAAATATTACAATGATTCCTTCTCCCCTTTCTCTGACTTTCTGCAAGACCTAAACTCACAGAGAAAGTTTCTCAGATTAGTGGTAATATACTTTTCGTATGACTAATTATCCTGGTTTTCTCAGGACTAAAAATCATGGTTTGGGGCACTAAAACCCCTGGCCAGGCAAAGTGGGATAATCAATCATCTGACTTATTCCAATAATTACATATTTATGTATCTCCAAAAAAGCTTCAACTAACACCATTAAAATACTAGTTATATTACAAAAGTATACTACACAGTGTTAGAATAAGCTTTACCACATTATGAGGAAGACATGTCAATTGAGAAGTCATCTTTCAAGCAAATAAGAGTTTCCTCTATTTAAAATAAAAATTTGGGCTGGGGATTTCGTTCACTGTAAGAGCATGTACATAGCATAAAAAAGGCTTTGGGTTCGAAAAAGAAAAAAAAAATCAAAATTATAGGGAGTCAATTCCCTCTCAAAAAAAAAAAAAAAAACCTATTAATTTCCAAAAAAATTCAAGTATTTAGAGGGCTTTCAATCTTCCAATAAGCAAATTTTCAATGGAATAGATAATGACAGATGCTCCTGTTGTCCCTAACTAGTGTGGCGATATCTATATATTTATCCATATTAGCTTTCAGAGTTTCTTAAAAAATATTCGCAATTAAAAGCAAGCTGAAGCAAGCCAGAAATTCATGATATTAGCATTGCAAGGAAGTTTAGAAATTATTAAATACAAAAGAAACAGAGGTCCAGAAGAAAATTTACAAGTTAATTTTCAAACTAAAGCTCCCAGTTACTGACTCAGATGCAGTAACTATAAATAGAAAATTAACACGATCTTAACTTTATTGATTGTTTTTCTTAAACTTGGTTTTAACTAAGCAAAGTTAAGGCATTAAGACTGACTTAAAGCCAGGCATGGTGACACATGTCTATGAATCCAGCACTTAGGATATGGAAGCAGGAGGATCTTGAGTTCCAAGCTAGCCTGGCCTATACAAAGCAAGACCCTTTCTCGAAAAAAAAGAAAAAAAAAAAAAAAAGACAGCATGGCACAATGGCTCACCCTGTAATCCCAGCTGCTGGGGAGTCAGAGATCAGGAGGATCATGGTTCAAGGTCAGCCAGGGCAAAAATTTAGTGAGAACTCCATTTCAGTAAGTCAGGCATGGAGGCACAGTCCTGTCACCCCAGTTATGTGGCAGGCATAGGTAGAAGAATCACCATCTGAGGCTAGCCCTGGGCAAAAATGTGAAACTCTACATGAAAAATAATTAAAGCAGAACATGTCTGAGGGAATGGCTCAAGTAGCACAGCACTTGCCTAATAAGCACAAGGTCCTGAGTGCATATCCCAGTACAAAAAAAAAAAAAAAATGACTGAATGAAAAACTGCTGCAAATGAGCACTGTATTGTATACTTATGTAACAACCACTTTTCTGTGAATCCCTACATTCCTAAGATTGAAAATGCACGTAAGAATCTTTCTGAGTTACGAAATCCATATGCTTACTGGGGCTGGAATGTGGCTAATATGGTAGAATACCTGTCCAACAAGCATAAAGCCCTGAGTTCAAACCCCAGAACCATCAAAAAAAAGTGAAGGCCAATTAAAATGATGTAGGAAAAAATAAATTTAAATAAACTTTTACAGTGATTAGGAGCAAGATTCTAAAAAAAGAACAGTAGGTTTACTGTTTTTGACAGAACTTATGTTTGCAAAATTCATTAGCATTCTAAGCTCATAATTAGTAACATTTATATAATAACTAAATGAATTTATGTATATCTGTGATCAGGGGTGGAAGGAATGGAAAGGATACCAAGGGGCAAAGAGGATGGAAGTACTCTGCATATATATATGAAAACACATAAGGAAACCCACAAAATACTGTGAAAGACAGGGGAAGAGGGTGGGGGAGGATAAGAACATAATGGAGGAAATGAACTTGTTCAAGGTACACTGTATGCATGTACGGAATTATCACAATGAAATCCCCTATATTATTAATGTATGACAAATCAAAAAAAAGAAAATTTCAAACAATTGATACTGATTTTCAAAGGTAAAGCTACTATATGTATACAGACATAAAGCAATCTTACACTACAGTATTTCTTCATTCTTCTTCAAGGTTTAAACAATCTTCATTAACAAAAAGGTAATTTATTTCCCAACTTTAAAAACTATCCTTAATTTTCCATAGGGTCTTATATAAATGACAACTTATATTACAAAACTTTACAGAGCTACAATACAGTGTGCAATAAATATGTGATGAACAGCACATTTAAAACTATTTTAAAAGGAGGTCAAGTCTGACCTCTGGGCCATGAAGCACTGTATTAACAGCTCTGCAGAAAGAAAAATGATAAGGTATGAAATGAGTGCTCAGAAACTAGGACTTTATCAGTTAGAATATGATTCAAGCCTGTAAGACAAATTGCTCAGCAAGGCAAGTCACCTTCCTGCTGTGATGAGGATGTAGTTGAATTTCCAATGCCAGTGACTATCTCCTTCATCGTGTCTCCGGTTTGATACCATACAGTCAAGGAATGGCTTATAGTTCTGAAGTATCAACTACTTATTTTGAATACATTTTGTCAAAGTCACGAACTAAGATAATTATCTTTGTCCTTTAACTGACAAGCTCAGTATTAAAAATAAAAATCTTAAAAAGATATTCACTAATGGGAACTACTAGGTGTTGACCCTTCAAAGAATGATTCTATTTCAGGTTTTTAATAAGTAAATTGGTTGTTATTTAAATCACTTAATAGTTTGCTTGGCTTTTATAAATAAAAATCATAACATAAAATTGGAGCAAACTCTGCAAATTTATCTCATTTTAATTTCATACCTGTACACCAACAGACTGTTTCAGCAATTCTTCTACTAAGTTCCAATTTGATTCTATTTGTCTCTAAAAAATGGAGAGAAAATTGTTTCATCAAAATTGTGTTTGATTATATACATGTTTAGAATTGTGGTATACCAAATAAAATATGAAATACATTTTATCCATCAGTAGAAATCATTGAAATTTCCTTCTGCCTAGCAAGTGCAAGGCCTGAGTTCAAAACCCAGTACCACTAGGAAAAAAAAAAAAGAAACCATTGCCATTTTTTGAACTTTCAATATTATTTTGGCAATGAGTCGGTTGAGCCTTGGTAGAAAAAGAATCTTCAATTAGTCCAATCCAATATATACCTTACCAAGAGTTATTTTATTAAAAATATTGCTTCTATAATATTATAGTTAATATTTCTACCATCAGAAATAATGAAACCACAAAACTTTTTTGAAGTTTTTATGACAAGCAAGCATTCTTTCCTCCCACCTTACACATTCATAATGGTCTTAAGACAGTTTACCTTATTAAATAAAGTAACTGAAACTTTTATAAAGAAAATAAGTAAAAGCTTTAGAGTACTATCTTCATTTAGTCAATGGTCACCTACCTGGCAACCTACCTGGCTGATTTCAATCTATAGTTTTTCTCTGTAATGAATAGTAACTATGAGTATAATGATTTTCAGTGAGTTCTGTGAATCCTGCAAATTATGAAACCTGAGGATAGTTTTAAGAACCCTCAAGCTTGCAATTAGAGTCAGAAGTAGAGAGAGTTATTATGTCTTGAGCCCTGAAACTTGGTAGGGTGGCCTTAAAACTCCTTCAAGAAAGGAGACCATTTTGCTCTATCAATACTATATGCAGATTATTATTTCCTTAAAACACCTTTCCCACTTCACAGAAAACAAAATGAAGTTTCAAGAAGATCATATATGCACAAGTCAGAGAATGGATTCAAGTCCAAGTTGGTCTGGCTCCAAAGCCAGTGCTCCTTCTATTATACAATGTACCGGTAACTGGTATTTTTCCTTCGGAAAACTTCTCACAGATTTCAGCAATCTTTTTAAAATTTTTTTTCATATATGACCCTTTATTTTTTAGATTATCATTTTATTTCTTTTTCAAATAGGGTACATTAATTGTACAAAAGGGTTTCATTATATTTCAATACATGCATATAATATACTTCGATCAAATTCACGCCCCTTGTTACTTTTTCTTATAAACCCTCCCCCACTTTTAACAAATCTCATTTATTCTATTTTCACACAAGCATATGAAATACTTTGATCCTACTCATATCCTCCCTTCACCTTCTCCCCCCGCCATACACAAACAGTTCCTATCTTACATTCACGTCATTTTTTTCTAGGTCTAGATTCCACATATGGGAGAAAACATTTGATATTTGTCTTTGATATTGTACCTTATTTCATTTAACATGATGATTTCCAGCTCCATCCATTTTCCTGCAAATGACATAACTTTATTCTTCTTTATGGCTGAATAACACTTGCGTGTGTATGTGTATATACTCATTCTTTAAAAAAATTTTTTAGCATATAAGAGTTGTACAGAGGGATGCATTGTGATGTTTATATATGTGCTAACAATATGTCTTACTTAGATTGACCCTCCATTGTTCTCCCTTTCTCCCCTCCCCATTCCTTAGAACAACTTCAACTGGTTTCACTGTTCTATTTTCATATGGATATAAAATACATCCACCATATTCACTCTTTTTCCTCCTTTCCTTGTGCCCACCCACCTCCCACTGGTACCAGCCCTGGAAAGGACTTATTTTTCCCTCTTGCCCTTTATTTTTGTTTTTATAAGTATATATTGATAGTCTAAGGGATTTTGCCTTAGTATGTCAAGCCTGTATATACCATGCTTTAATCAACTTAACCTCCTCCCCCCTCCATTACTTACTCATTATCTATCACATGTTCCCCTAATAATCAACAGCTTACAGTATAATATATTATGTTGTATTCATACATGGAAGAGTTGTTTCAATTCACTAACATTTTCTTTAACCCCCCACCCCGTAGTCAGCTTAGACAGACTCGCTAATGTAATTTTGTTCTCTCTCTCTCTCACTATTTATCTTATATATTCACTTTTTATGCATTCATCACTTGAAAGTCACCTAGGCTGATTGCATAGTTTGGCTATTGTGAATAGTGCTGCTGTAAACATGGGTGTGTAGGTATCTTTAATATATATATATATATATATATATATATATATACTTATATTCTCCCAGATATATGCCCAGAAATGGTAATAAAGCAATCTATTTTTATATCATTCTTTTTAATGTCTCCACTAGAAATATAAAATAGATTCCCTCTTTCCAATTATGGTGACTAGAAAGCCTGGTGCAACTCTCATTTGAAGGATGTATTATACTCCTTTTATTTGGTTGCCATTTCAGATGTTTAAAAACAAAAGCATCAACTAGCCTGATTGTCTTATATTCTTGGCAGAGAAAGTACTCTTAAAACACCCCTGTAATGCCCAAAAGTCACTTTCCTCTTTACCTGTATTTGGTTTTAAAACAGATGACCAGGATTGTGAGTGGATAATACACTCTCATCCAGGTTAACAGAAAAGCATCAAACAGAAATGTATGAAAAGCTAAAGCTTCTGAGAAGTGAGATAACAAAGTTTTCTTGTAAGCTGATATACAAAACCCAAGTTACAAAAGCTTTTTACAATAAAAATCATGTCTGAAACCTATTAAAAATATAAGATTGCATATTAACCTCAGGGTAAATCAGTTCAAATTTAAAGACTGAAACATTCCCATGCAGTCACAAAACTAGAGATATCTTCTTGTGAAGACCATAGGACTAAACATTATTGCTTCCTATAATCACTCACATAATTCTTTAGTGGAACAAAGCATGCTAACTGCATACCCATTCTCTCTAGTGTAGTTGGCTATGCTAATATAAAGAGGAAAAAAGAATTTAAGCAGTTTTCAAAATTCAGATCTAAATATATCCCAGATAAATTAACATCCTATGTAATTGCTCTAAAAGAATGAACCAATATACCTTTCTGTTCATAGATTAGGATGACCATGTCAAACAGAGACAATTTTTGGAGAAATATGAAAACTCACTGATAGGATGAATGGGTAACAGAAATAAACTGGGACTATCCTTAGTAAACGAGAACAGATGGCTATTGTACCAAAGAAGTATTTATACAGGCAATCCTTGAGAGAACTAAAATATCAAGTTTTTCTAAGTGATAAAATAGAATGACATTTAATCTCTGTGTATCTCAATTTCCTTACCTATAAAATGGACTTATCATCCTCTCCCCTACTTCATAACACTTCCCTGATATTAAAAATTGAATAATTCCTGTGAGGTATTAAATACTTTGCAAATGTAATATGCATTTCACATCAAATAAAACCTATTAATAACTGAAGGGCTTAAGTTTTTCTTTAACTGCCACTGATAGGAAAAGTCTTTAAGAACTCACATGAAAAACAAGGTTTATTTTACATGTACACATACAATATATGTTCACATACAGATACATTACTATCCTTACTATTTTTGTCATTTAAAATGTTCTTTTTTGAAGACGGCTTTTTAAAAATCTTCTACATAATTTAAAGAATTAAGATTTTAAGAAATATAAGTATCTTGATTGGCAAAAGAAAATCACATGGGAATTGTGGGCAAGTATTAAAAGACACAAATTAAGATATTTTAAACACACATAAATTACTTATTATCTTGTTTCAGTACTAATAAAAGTAATAATCTTCTGAGTATTCTGAATGAAACAGATGAGATTTCAGCAATGCATTCTTGGTGGTTATACTGGTGCAATTCAACAATACAACAGTAATGGTAACAATGTATATTAATGTGGCTAGATTAGCTACCACACTAGGAATACCCGAGGGTCCAATATCAACCATTATTGAAATATAGAACTCATTCCATTGTTACTGCAGCTCTCTTAAGCATTAATAACCAAAAAGCCCGTTCCTTGAATCAAAAGGCAATACCATCTTTCTCACATGTATTGTCTCATTGACACTTACAACACACATAATAGAAACTCAGAAGTGCTTACCTATTTATGATATTTATATACACTGATTAAAAATGAAGAACATGTAACTGGAGGAATTAGGGGGAAAGGAAAAGAAATGAAAATGTTTATATTAGGATCTTAGAATGATTCACAATTTTTTGCAGGCAGCTAGTAGGGATTGAATCCAGGGTCTTGTGTTCACTAGGAAAGTGCTTTATTACTTGAACCATACCCCCAGAATTCCTGCTCATATTTTTTAATTTTGTTTTTGCAATAGGATCTTGCTAGCTTTGCCTATTATGGTCTTGATCGCACGATTCTCTTCCCTCTGCCTCCCTAGTAGAGGGGATTACAGGAGCGTACTGCATCATGCCTATAGGTAAATTTTTTTAGTTCCTTTAATGTTGTTGTAATGTTCTAACATTAAAGACGTAAAACATTACCATATTAACTCCACAAAAACACTTAATGAAAGGACTAGTGTAGTAATAATAACAATTGCTAAAATAGGTGTGTTTATTCCATATTAGTTTGGAAAATACAGAAACAAAGGACACAATTCTCTGTGAAAAGTTAATTCTATTGATACCTCAATACACTAATAGTGAGTTATATGTGACATTCTCAAGAGCATTTTCTGACTTATTTAAATAACTTTATCTTGAGATTTACTAAAAGGACATTAATTGTTAGAGGAATCATTTCAAGGACTTTTAGAGGTTCTTTCCTTTTTTATGATGATGTAGATGCTGTATCAGTGCTAATTAATCCTCAGATTCTATCAAATGAATCCAAGGGCTGAGTCTGCTCAATACCTCAACAGGGAAAATCTGCTAAGCCCACCAAAGAATATGTTCCATTAAAATATTCAAAGCAATGTTTCTATACCTCATAGAGAATAAAAACCAAAAAACTTTTAAAAAATAAAGACTCCTAAATTCCAAACCAGAGTGCTAAATCAGGATCTCCAGAGATGAGGCCTAGAAGTCTGAATTTTATGGAGCTGATAGGCTGATATAACTCTATTCACCTGGCGTGGAAGAAATTATATACAAGTAGAGCTTCAAATATACATCTCCCAGATGCTTCTATTCATAGGGCTCTTGTAGTAACACAGCAAAATAAAAATGCATCTAACTAGAAATTTAGCTCTAGTTAAAATCTCTTGTCTTCCTATTTGAAATGAACTTGATGGTGGTTCAATACATTGAAATGTCTTTGGGAAAAGTATCTTGAAAGAAATGTCATTCTGAAGAAATACTTTCATTACATTAAACACAGAAAGAAGTTAATTCATTTCTGAAGATAAATGCTTTTCCTTTGCCAATCTTGCAGATTTAGGAATGAAAATTAATCTTTGGAACAATCCAATACATGATTTTTGAATGAAGGAAAAAGGGCTAAAAAAACTTAAGTAATTTACTCAAAGCCACACAACTACTTAGAAACGAAGCCAGGACTGCAAATCATCAAGTCTTCTCTAAATTGCTTTCCTTTAATTAAAAAATAAAAACAGAAGCTTTACAACTTTTCAAGATATTTATAGAAGGTTTGTGGATACTTATAGAAACATTATAGATAAAAAGAATTTATTACTATAGGACTATGATCTCGTTTTTGCTGTTTCTGCTCATTTACTTTGGATCTGTCTTAAAAAAAAAAAAGCATGTTAATTGATAATATAAGAAAAATTTTTTAAAATGTGCTCTTACCATTTCATCTGCTACTCCATGGCGATCAAACTGGTAAAATGATGCTATATGAGTAACAATCCACCAACTAAAACCTAATGGATCCCTGGACTGAATTATAGGCACAGAAGGTCTTCTTTGGTCACTGGATTTCTCAAAGAGTGTCTTAAGCAGTTTATTCAACCAGTTCCATAATGACTATAGAAAAAGAGGTAACATAATTCAGTTAAATTAAGACACTACTCTAATGACTATAAACTTAAGATTTTTTCCTTCATTTTTATAATGACACACATACATAAGAAAGAGAATATCAACTATGAACCTTAATGTATTTTGTGCTCTAAATGTATCTCTTCTACATAGCTTACAGATTGTTCAGATAATACTTTTAAATATAGTTTTAAGTAATCCATTTATAACAATTTAGTTCTAAATCAACAACTTTATTTTATATTTTTATTTGTAAATTATTGTATCCACCAACAACTTCTTAGGTTGAATACTTCCTCTACTAGCTTGGAAGTTAAATGGTGTTCTCTTTTTTTCAGTGATAACTTTACAAATAGCAGCATATATTCAAATTTCTTGGTAAATAAACACACATCTACTCTTTAGACAAAGCAAAAACCTTAAAAGACTAACTCACTGAGGCCTCTAGGCAATTTATATTCTATTATCACTTTGTATTTTATTTTTTTAATCACACCAAACTATATTATTTTTCATACAAAATATTTACTACTTTGTTAGCTCTATATTTATTCCCAAATCAGGGATCTCCCATTCTAACATCACTGTATCTTTTAGGATTCTTTTCAATTTTACTCCATTGAAAATGTCTTTATTTCACATCACTCCTCTTTTTTGGAGGTACTGGGGTTTGAACTCAGGGTCATGCACTTGCTAGGTACACCCTCTATTACTTGAGCCACACCTCCATTCTTTTCCTTTTGTTATTTTTGAAATAGGTTATCACATTTACATTCAGGCCAGACTGAACCTCGATTCTCATATTTATACTCCCCATTATAGCTGGAATGACAGGCATGTGCCACCACATCCAACTACTGATTGAGATAGAGGTCTTGCCAACTTTTTGCTTGGGCTGGCTTTAAACCACAGTCCTCCCAATCTCTGCCTCCCAAGTGGCTAGGATACAGGTGTGAGCCACCATGGCACCCTTTCATATCTCTCTTGAAAGACTTTGCCTGGGTGAAGAGCGATGCTTTACTATAATAAAGACAGTATTCCCACTGGCCTCTGCTATTAAGAAGTCAGTTATCTAATTTTCACTCTTGAAGGTAATACATTTTTCTTTCTGATGCTTTTAATCTCTCTGTCTTTAATAATCTGTGATTTCATTACAATGTATCTTGTTGTCTTTTTCATTTTGTTGACAGTAAGCAGGTTCTTTGGGTTTTTTGATCTGATTAGCATTCACTAACAATGGAAAACTTTCAGTCTGTTTTTCCTCAAATGTTTTCTCTGTTCCACTCCATTTCTAACTACAATTAGAAGTATATTCATCAGCCATCCTCTTTATTCTTCCTGTCTCTTAACCAGTCTTTCATATTTGCAATCTATCTCTTTGTGCTGTATTGCACATAATCAACCTCATTCATAGTTCCTCTGCTATACCATTATGAGGTGATCAGAAACTGAACTTAGCTGCCATGTCCCTTCAACTTCCCTGAATCTGCATCACTTTCTCAGATTATGTTACCATTTACAACCTTAACATTTATGAAATTATTTATATTTGGCCATTCTCTCTTTATCATTACATTAAGTACTTTTGGCAAGAAAGCCACAGAAATCTTTTTGCTCTTTCAGTGCATCAGATGAGGGCTTCATGATATCAATTTATTCTGTTACTGGTTAATTTCAATTATTTGGATAAGGTGGTTTACACCAGATTTTTGAACACTATAAAGCTACTGTTTTCCTTTTGTAGGTGATAAGTATTATGTGGAGATACTTACCAAACTATATTAATATCATATTTAACCTCAGAGTATGTAGTCAAACAACAGATTCTATTAAAGTTACCTATGTTAGTACTCCCAATTCCTACAGAGTTTTATCCACTTTAAATATAGTTAAGATTCAGTTGTTTCTCTTTATATTCCATTGAGTACACCTTCCAAACATGTTGGTGGTTTTAAATTTGGAGCATACAAAACAGCATGATTCCAAAATCACAGCAACACAAAACTCACATTCAAATCCTTCCAATCCATTGTCACCAAGCAATTTCCACTTCTACCACCAATATGAGACTGGGAAGAATCCAACATTACAGCTAGGGCAGGGAATCAGAAATCCTAAGCTCCGTGACTCCAGAAACCATCTTGAGACATTGGAGCTACACTTGTGTAATTCTGACTACTTCTAGCCAAAATAATAACCCCCATAACAGCAGGTGCACATAAAATTCAAAACTGACCCTTAAATCAGCCTTTAATTGCACCTAATGCATGAGCGGCACAGCCAAAAAAGCCCCCTGGCTGTTTCTCTCTTTTTTTTTTTTCTTTTCTTTTTTCCTCAACAAGCAGAAGACAGAGTATCAATCATAATCGAACTCTGTGATATCCTGGATCCCTAGCCCATGGAAAGCCTCCCTATGCTGCACCATTTCTCCCACCAGCCAGTTTCAAAGCTGCTTGTGTGCATCTGCAGAAGAAACAGGTAATCACACACCACACGCGACTCCCACTCAAGAGCTGTGAAAAGAATATGCAAGAACTCAGTGACTCCATCAAAAGACCAAACCTGAGAATCATGGACAATGAAGAAGAAGAAGAGGTGCAAGCCAAAGTGATACATAATATATTAAATAAAACAATAACAGAAAATTTCCCAAATCACGAGAAAGTTTTGTCCCATTTGAGTACAGGAAGCCTCCAGGACACCAAACACATTTGACCAAAAGAGAACCTCCCATAGCATATTATTAACACAATAACCACAGAGAACAGAAAAAGAATATTGAAGGCTATAAGAGAGAAAGAACAAATAACATATAAAAGTAAACCTTCACATCAGATTTCTCAAGAGAAACCTTAAAAACAAAAAGGGTATGGAGTGAGGTATTTTGGGCACTGAATGAAAATAACTTCAACCCTATGATACTCTGCCCAGCAAAACTATTATTCAAAATTGATGGAGCAATAATAAAAATCTTCCACAATAAACAGAAACTAAAACAGTATTATGACCACCAGGCTGCCACTAACAGAAGATTCTACAAGGAATTCTGTACACAGAAGATGAAAGTAAACAAAATGATGAGAGGATGGGAAGCATCAAACCACAAGAGAAGAAAAGACAAATAACCAGAGAGTAGCACTGATTCCACTGCACACAATCAAATCCTTAAACAACAAAAGTAACTAAATGGCAGAAATCACCACATACCTATCAATATTAACACTGAATGTTAATGGACTCACTCCCCTACAAAAAGATACCCTTTGGCAAACTACATTAAAAAGGAAGATCTGACAATCTGTTGTTTACAACAGACCCATCTTATTAAAAGAAATGAACACTGGTTTAGGGTGAGAGGCTGGAAGGAGATTTATCAAGCCCCTGAAAACGGGTAGGAGTAGCAATACTTATATCAAACAAAGTAGACATCAAACTTACATTGGTCAAACAAGACAAGGATGGCTACTTCATACTAATAAAAGCGTCAATACATCAAAAGGAAAAAACAATTATCAACCTTATGCACCCAATGACAGGGCACCCAATTTCATCAAACCTAAACCAAAGGACTTAAAAGCACATACAGTCTCCAACACGGTGATAGTGGGAGACTTTAATACCCCTCTATCACCAATAGTTAGGCCATTCAAACAAAAAAATCAAAAAAGAAGTCCTAGAACTAAAGGATACCATAGATCAAATGGACCTAACTGATGCCTACAGAATATTTCATCCAACAACATCACAATAAACATTCTTCTCAGAAGCTCATGGAATTTTCTCCAAAACAGATTACATCTTAGAGCACAAAGCAAGCCTCAGCAAATATAAGAAAAAAGAAATAACCCCCTGCATTCTATCTGATCACAATGCATTAAAACTAGAACTCAACAACAAAAACAACAGGAGAAAATGTACAAATAATTGGAAGCTGAATAACACATTGCTCAATAATCAGTGGGTCATAGAAGAAATATGAAAGGAAATCAAAAGGTTACTGGAAGTTAATGAAAATGAAAACACCACCTACCAGAACCTAGAGCACACAACTAACTTTCTAACAGGAAAGTTAATAGACATGAGTGCATATATTAAAAGGACAGAAACATCTCAAAATAAATGACCTAATGCTACATATCAGACTTCTAGAAAAACAAGAACAACCAAAACCCAAAACAAGCAGAAGGAGAGAAATAATAAAAATAAGGGCCAAAATTAATGAAATACAAACCAAAAAAATCATACAAAGAATCCACAGAAAAAGAAGCTGGTTCTTTGAAAAATTAAACAAGATTAACAAGCCCCTGGAAAATCTGACTAAAATGAGGAAAAAGACCCAATTTAGTAAAATCAGAAATGAAAAAGAGGAGATAATAACAAACACCAAGGAAATCCAGGGAATCAACAGAGACTACTTTAAGAACCTATATTCCAATAAATTGGAAAATCTTGAAGAAATGGACAAATTTGTACATACTTTTGACCATTCAAAATTGAACCAAGAGGATATTATTCACCTAAACAGATCTATAACATGTAATGAACTTGAAGCAGCAATAGAGTCTCCCAAAAAAGAAAAGTTCAGGATCTGTGGAGTCTGTGCTGAATTCTACCAGACCTTCACAGAAGAACTAATACCAACACTCCTTAAATTTTTCCATGAAATAGAAAGAACACACCTAACTTATTCAATGAAGCCAGTATTACACTCATCCACAAATCTGACAAGGACACATCCAAAAAGGAAGAAGTACAGGCCAATCTCCTTAATGAACATTGATGCAAAACTCCTCAATAAAATAATGGCAAACTGAATTCAACAGCATGTTAGAAAGATCATCACCATGACCAAGTCGACTTCATCCCAGGGATGCAGGGATGGTTCAACATACACAAATCAGTAAGTGTAACACAGCACATTAATAAAAGCAAAGACAAAAACCACTCAAAAACTCCTAGATACCATAAATAGCTTCAGCAGTGTTGTAGGATACATCAATTTACAAACACCAGAAGCTTTTCTATATACCAACAATGAAGAAATTGCAAAAGAATATAGAAAAACAATTCCATTTACAATACCCTCAAAAAAATCAATTTTTACCTAGGAATAAACTTAATAAAGGATGTAAATGACCTCTTCAAGGAGAACTACAAACCACTGAAGAGATCCAAGAAGACTACAGAAGGTGTAAAGATCTCCCATGCTCATGGATTGGCCGAATCAACATAATAAAAATGGCTATACTACTAATGTCAGTAAGTTTCTTGTCTTTCCACTATTTCTTTGTATCCAACTGAACATATATATATGTGTGTGTGCATATGTATGTATATGCACATTTCCTTATTGTCTGTTTTCTTACATAAAAAGTAGCACACTATAAATACTCTTTTGTATTTTGCTTACTTTATTTAACAGTACATCCTGGAAATCACTGTTATCACTTCAGATATCTTCCTCATTCTATTGTACAACTATATATGTAATGGTTAACTTTAATATTTCTACTGGGCCACAAATTGCCTAAATATTTGACTAAATATTATACTGGGAATGTTTATGACCATTAAAATGGATGAAATTAATATTTAAGTCAGTAGAATGAATAAAGATTGCCCTCCCTAATGTGGACTGGCCTGACACAATCCACCTGGATGCCTAAATAGAAGAAAAAAGTTCTATTTTTTTTATTCTCTGCCCGACTGTCTTCAAGCTGGAATGTCAATTTTTTTCCTGTCTTTAGTCTTAGACTCAGGCTGAAACCGTATCATCAGTTTTCCTGGTTCTCCAGTTTCCAAATATACATTCCAGGACTTAGCTTCATAACCTTCTGAGCCAATTCATTATAATAAACCTCTTTATATATCTATATATCCTTCTGGTTTTATTTCTCTGGAGAACATGGACTAACACAGCAGAATACTCTGGTGTATTGAAGTACTGTGATTTGTTTAACACCTCTCCTATACACAGAAATTTAACTTGTTTCTACTACTATTTTATTATTACTAACAATGCTGAAAGAAATAACCTCATGCATATACATACCTCCAATAAATTTTTGGAGGTATACATTTAAGGTAAAATGCCAGAAGACAGCTAGAATGAAAGTGATAAATCCTTGGCTCATACTTCTTCATTAAGTCTTTTTAAATGCTTTCATTGTTGCCTTACTTCTATGTTCTTTTTGAGAAGCCTAGTGCCAGACAAATCAATCTGCTCTTACAACTTCTTTGGTCTTTCTACTGAGAGAACTTGAAGGCGTTCTTCTTTATGCATTTTTTTTTTTAACTTTGTGGTGCTTGGGATCTTGCACATGCTAGAACTAGCACTATACCTCTAAACTCTAACCCAACTCCTGTTTGTTTGACATCAGTAACTTTAGTCTCACGTGTCCTGTGATGAAATGTTTGGGGTTAATCTTATGCAATAGATCCTTTCAATACATAAATTTAGGTTTTCTTTTAATTTGTGGGAAGTTTTTTAGATTATAGTTGTGAATATTAGTTATATTCCATTGTATTGTTTTCTTCTTTAGGGATTCCATTTATATGTATGGTTATTTCATCTTTGCCTGACTTCCATTTCAAACATTCTCTCTGTAACTTTTTTTTTCTTCATCTCATTGTTAGTCCCTTAGGTATTTTTCAGCCTTTCTTTTATACCTCTTATTAAATTTTCATTTAGGTTTACAGGTAATTTGGGCTTCTTATAATTTAGTCAATTCTAATGAAACATTTTTTGTCCTACTTTTCTCCAGGATTCAATTTAATCTTTTCATTTCATTAATTTCTGGGTTTTTTTGTTTTTGTTGTTGTCTATTTAACATTTGATTACCTTATCCAAGGTGATGTTTCACATTCTTAGCTACTGTATAAATGTATTTAACTCAATGTGCAGTGTTGTTTTATAATTTTCTTCTGCTTCATAGCTCTTTCTATGGGAGAGGGTATCATCAGCTGAAGCACTCAGTTCTTTTTTAGTAACTTTATAGACATTTAGTTTCATTCTTTAGGTTTAGAATAATTTAAAGGACTTCAGAGGTATCTTCTTTATTCAAGGTGCCAAGTCACATTTCACTCATTCTCTCCTTGATTTCCTTCTTACAAGACCCCAAAATTTTCCTTCTTGGCTATGTCACTACTCAATCAGCAAGGGTACCACTACTTACTCTGTATTTCTATTGTCTAGAAACTGCCTTCATTGGCTGCCTCCTAAATTCACACATATTTTTATGCTCTTAACATATATTTAGTTATCTGACTTACAAGGAAGTTTTTCTGACAATTACTTTATACCATTTTATGATCTCTCCTCTGAGCAGTTTTCTTCAGATTCCCTTTGCTTGTTAGAAAGGCTGTGGAAGAAGCTTTGGTGATTTTTACCTTTTGTAATTTATAGCCTGGAGCAGTCCTATTTTGCAATTACACTATCAACATGTTTTCTTTGTTCTTGAAGTTCTATATTTTCTTGGGAGATTATGTGGAAAAATGTAGATTTAGGCACCCATTCAATATCCTTGCACACCAAGAAGCTAATGTCTTGAATTTTAAATATAAGTTAAGTGGTATGAACTCAAGCTGTAAATGGGCTGAACTATAATAATAAACAACACAGAAGCAATTTCAAACTTCCGCAAACTGCCACATTATTAACATACAATTTTCCTTAACATTTACTTGAGTGTCTAGTTAGACAGCTGGGGTATGAGGAGGTTACCAACTTGAGTGAACATGTGCTGTGTCTTTTATTCTTGTATCCTATAATGCATAAAGTTCTCAAGTCAACACAAATCAGCAATAGCTTCTTAAGGTTACAAGGCAGCCTCAGTGTTCAACTGACCTGAGTTCCCACCTACATTTAGTATTTGGTATCTGTATTTCTTATTTTCTACTAGCTCAATCACACATTTAAATTACCTGGTATAGGATATTCAGCATGATTAGACTATTTTTAGCAAGAGGTTCAAACTGTCTTACTCTCAGGAATGAAAACTGCTAATTTGAGTGTTAAAATACAGCCGCCTACAAAGTTTATGAATGTAACTTATTTCAGTTATACAAAAAATGACAACTCTCACTACCACATAAAATGCAAAACATACAAATTATTTAGGTAAAACAATACATATTACAATGTAAATTTCTAGAATTTGACACTTCAAATTGTGCCTATTTTTCTAAAAAGCTTAAAATGTAGAAAAATGACTACTGGCAACAGGATTATATAATTTTATATGTATACATTTATGTATAAAATTACCTATTTTTATGAAATAATGCTCAGAAATACAAAATTCTCACTATAAAGACAGTTTGTAGAAAATGGACAAAATTAATGTTTATCTTATCAAAGAAATTTTAAAAATAACTGGCAAATAATCAAAGGCAAAAAAAAAAAAAATCCCTGATTTTGTAATGAGCTGAAATTTACTGCCCAAAGGACAAGAAGAAAACTTAAAAATCTTAATAATGAGCAAAAAAGACATTAAATTTACACTTATTTGTTTTTTGCTTAAATAATGACTCAAAACAAGTATAGCACTTATAAAACTTGAGTTGTTATTAAAACTAGATAGTTGCATCCAAACTCAAAATTATGGAAAATTGAGATATACTATAAACCATTTTAGTATCATTTCACAATAAACTATGTTTATACTTCTGCCAGTGAGTATTGCTTTTCAGTAATTAAGAATACTGAAAGCTGTCTTCCCAAGCTCCAACTCAAAATCAGGTGGAAGTTAATTTCCCATCTGCCCCTTCCTGCTTCTCTTCCTCCCTCCATGAAACAAGATGCTGTATGATCTAATAGAAACTTTCATATTGACTGACTTCTAGAAACTTGTTTTTTATTTCACCCGAAATTCAAATCTGCAACATTTTCTGACTAAAATGTTTTCTGAGTTACTAGAAAGTATTAACCACTTTATCCTAAGAAATTTCTCATAGAACCAAAAAGAATATAAGAAAATAAGAATCAAATTTTGTACTACTTGATTTTTCTTATTACTAATTTAGAGTTAAAAATAAAGTAGATATTCAGTACTTAGCTAACGCTCTGTTTGGTGGTTGTTACTGCCTTACTATTTAAAAAGAACTTTTAACAAGGTTTTTCTTGGCCAAAACCCCTGAATAAATTCAATCTAACAGTTATAACAGTTGGGTGCTGGTGGCTCATCTCTGTAAATCCTAGCTACATGGGAGGTACTGACTAGGAGGACTGGAGTGGAGGCCAACCCAGGAAAACAGTTCACAAGATCCTACCTTGAAAATACTCAATACAGAAAAGGGCTGACTGAGTGGCTCAAGTGGTACAGCACCTGCCAAGCAAGTGTGAGGCCCTGAGTTCAAACCCTAGTACCACCCATGCCAAATAAAAAAAAAGAGTGACAAGAACTAAACATCAATTTACCAACTTACTTCTGAGAGAGACCATTTACTTCTGTGGTCTAGAAGATGAATGAGTAGAACCCACAATTCTTTGAAGCATGAACATGGGCAGTGATGATTCATTAATGCCTCAGAAGGCCTAACCTGTACAAAAGAACCAAAAGGAGTTATTCACAAGAGCAGCAGAATTTTACGTGCCATATATCTAATTGTTTTTTTTTTAATGTTTTTGATAAAGTTAATTATGAGAAATGACTTTTTGCTAACTTTGAAAACCAATTTCCTTTTAGAAACAAAGTATATAAGAAACTGGATTTTTTAACTTAAATGAAAACACTGTACTTTATGTATATAGTCCAGGGGTCAACAAATTTCCTTACAAAGTGCCAAACAGTAACTATTTAACATTTTCTTGGAAAAAAAAGCTGTTATAACTACTCAATTCTGCCGTTGTAGTACAACAGCAGTCATAGACAAGACTGAAAAATGGCCAGGGCTGTGATCCAGTAAATGTTTATATACAAAAACAGGTGGTATAGGTTGGGTTAAACTGAAAATCATATTTTACTAACCCAACTCTAATGAAAATATTAGAAAATAAATATGGATTCCCATAAAGCAGAGTAAAAATTCTTATGGTAATAAATATAAGTGATTTATAAAGATTAAGCAATTCCAAAATTATTTACCATGTTGCTAATAAAATATTCTCAGTAATTCTAGATAATGCAGAAAATTGACATTACATTTGCCAACATAGTTAGACTGTTGAAATGTATCTAAAATTTCACATACTACATACATATTCCCACCATAAAACACGTAAAAATTAACTGCTAAGATATCACTAGACGTCCTAGTCAGAGCAATTAGACAAAAGACAGAAATAAAAGGCATCCAAATTTGAAAGGAAGAAGTTAAATTATCCTTGTTTGCAAATGCCATGCTTTTCGTTTTTTTGAGGGGGAGGGTTAAGATAGGGTGGCCTCAAACTAACAATCCTCATGTCTCAGCCTCCTGAGTGCTGAGATTACAGGGATGTGCCACACACCTGGCTTGACATGTTATATATATATATATATATATATATATATATATATATATATATGTGCATTCACATATAGAAGAATGGAATTTAGACCCTCATCTCACACAATTTATAAAAAAAAAATCAAGTCAAAATGAATTAAGGAGTTAAAGAAAACAACAGAGGAAAAACCTAGGAATAGGAGATTTTGCAAACCATACACTTGATGAGGTATTAAAACCCAAAATATATAAGAACCACAAACAGTTCAAGAAACAACCAGATTAGAAATGAGTAAAGGACCTAAACAGATATTTCTCAAAAGAAAACATAGAAATGGCCAACATGTATATGAACAAATGCTCAATTGTTAATCATAACAGAAGGTAAATTAAAAGCTGATGAGGTATCATCTCACTTCTGTGGGAATGCAAATTAGTATAGCCATAATGGAGATTTCTTAAAAATTAAAAACAGAGCTACCATACAACCCAGAAATCCTACTCCTTAGTATACAGCTAAAGAAAAGGAAATCAGTATGTCAAGGCAATAATTTCCATATTAACTAGCTATTCACAACAGTCAAAAGAAGGAATGAAATGAAGTTCCAACCAATGTGTGAATGAATAAACAAAGTCTGGAATGGGATACTATTCAACCTTAAAATGCAGATCCTGCCATTCCCAACCTCACAGATGAGGCTGGAAAAAACATTATGTTAAGTGAAATCAGCCATACACAGAAAGACAAATACATGTAGAATCTTAAAAAGTTGAAGTAATAGAAGCAGTGATAGAATAGTAGAAACCAGGGGTAGGGAGTGAGGAGGAACTGAGAGGATATTAGTGAAAGGATATTAGATTATAAAAAGCTCAAAATGTCTATTGTACGATATGGTGACTTCAGTGAACAACGATGCATTATATTCATGTTCTCACCACAAAAAATGCTATGTGAATATTTTTTCCCTTTATTGTTGAGCTGGGTGGGGGTACACTGTACAAAGGTTCTTACAATGTATCAAACATATCATACTTAAATAAATAAACAAAACTAAAAAATTTTCCATTTCCCAAAACTTAGATATATAATTCAGGGTTTTCATAAACTACAGAATACAAAGTATAACTTAATTAGTCATAGCTTGTAATTTTGGACTGTTTAACCATCAAAACAATATTTTCATTAAAAAATGCTATGTGAAGTAATGTATATGGCTAAGAATCTCAATTTAGCCATTTCACACTTATGCAAGATTCAGAACATCATGCTGTACATGATAAGTATGTAGAACAATTTTTGTCAGTTAAAAAAATTAAGTTAATGTTAAAAAATTATGATATCGTATCTGATTAATCTGCTAATTGGAAACATGGACTAAATTTAAAAGATATTGATAACAAAAGCATAAAGCAATCTATACTTAAAAAAATCACAATCTTAATTTCTCTAAATTCCAGCTTTCCACAAGTAGGGTTTATGCTCATAATCTGAAATAAAGTGGTAATAACCTATGAATTTTTGCTACTTGAAAATGAGCACATTCTGTAGTACCTTTAAACGACTGTTTCTGTTAAACACTATATGATAAGTGTTATTCAGTAAAGACACAATTTACTCATGATTCTGGACCTTTTGTAAAAACAAACAAAAAGCTCTCTTAAAATCTGCTAAACAAACAATATTATATTAAGTTAATATATTAACAACAATATAATGGATTACTAAGGGGTTAGCCTCTTCTTTCTGAATAGAAGTTAAACTTTTAGTAATTTTTGTAAACATTTTATTGTTAATAAGTTATCCTTGACAATATGGGAATGCCAATTTTTCTTAAAATTAACTCAGAAATACTAAAACAATTTTTAAATGGGCAATAAATTTTAATAACATTTCTCAAAAGAAGGCATATAAATAGTCAAAAAGCATATAAAAATTGCTCAGTATTAATAATTGCATTAGTTTTTCAATACTATGAAAAAATACCTGAGAAGGAAGGAAGGATTCATTTTGGCTCACAGTTTCACAGATTTCAGATCTACTTGCTCCCCTGTTATAGGCCTGTGGTAAGGCAGAACATCATGGTGGTAGGAGGAGATGGCAAGAAAATGCTTACCTCAAGATGGCTGGGAGGCCGACAGAAGGACAGAGAGAGGAAGAGACCAAGACAAGAGATACCCTTCAAATGCACACCCACAGTGACTCAGGTCCTCTAGCCAGGCCCAGTCTTCCAGAGTTGCCATCACCTCCCAATAGTCCATTCTATTCTGGATCCATCGATAGATTGGTCCATAGATTATGTGAGAGCTGTCATGATTTGATCACTTCCCAAAAGTCCCATCTCTGAACATTACATTGGGGAAGACTTCTACACATGAGCCTTTAGAAGACATTTCATATGCAACCAGCACAACACTAACTTTCAGAGAAATGCAAATCCAAACATAAAGGAGATAATTTCCTCACTCCAGCAAGAGTGGACAATGACCAAAATACTAAGGATAATAAGTGCTAGTTAGAATGTGGAGAAAAGGGAACCTTTGCACACTGGTAATTACATGGAATGTAAACTAGTACAGCCATTATGGTAAACAGTATATAAGATCCTCAAAAAGTTAAAAATACAACTACCGTATGATCTAGGAATCCCACTCCTAAGTACATATTCAAATGAAATGAAATCAGTATGTTGAAGCAACATCTACACTCCCATGTTCATTGTAGCATAATTCACAATAGCCAAGAAATAAACATCAACTCATGAATGGATAAAGAACACAATACATATATACAACAAATACTATTCAGCCACACACACACAAAAGCATGAAATCCTGTCACTTGTTACAACATATAAGCTAGGCACAGAAAGAAAAGTACTGCATGATCTCACTTATATGTGGAACCTTAAAAATTTGACCTCATAGGAGTTGAGAGTACAATATGTTATCAGAAGCTGGGGAAAGGAGAGGATGTGAAAGGAGAGATGAAAAAGGGTTGATCAATGTGTATCAAGTTACAGTTAGAGCAAAAAGTTCTGTGTGCTACTTATACAGTAGGGTGACTATAGACAATTATCAAGTATATATTTTAAAAAGCTAAAAGAAAATGCTTGGAGTAGGAGCATGGCTTAAGTGGCAGAACACCTTCCTACCAAATGAGAGGCTCAATGTAAATCCCAGTATTGCCAAAAAAAACACAAAAAGAAAAGATGTGATAAGTGCTTGAGTAGGTATGTTTAACCTGATTTAACATTATACAATGTGTACATTTGTCAAAACATGTTATCCCATTAATACAAACTTCATATTATGTATCAGTTAAAAAAATTAATTAAGAAAACTAATTCCAGCCTGTTGTAATTTTTTTTTTAATTTGTTTGTTTACTGTGGTACTAGGGACTGAACACAGGATCTTGCACTTGCTAGGCAAGTACTCTCCCACTTGAGACACACCCCTAGCCCTTTTGTTTTTATTTTGTTTTTTTTAGATAGAGTCTCCCTAACTTTGCCTGAGCTAGCCTCAAACTGGCAATCCTCTTGCCTCTACCTCAGGTGCCAGAGTTAAAGGTGTGTGACATTATGCCTGACAATTGTAAATGTTCATATCAAAATTCTTTTCCCTTCCAGCTCCCATATATTAGTAAATGTTAAATCAGGAAAATTAGCAAGTAAACTTTAAAATTCTTATAGCTTAAACTTCTTGCACAAAGGACTAGTACAATGAAGTATCAAAAACACAAATACCTCTTAAAGCATTACCTTGTCATACCTGTTGAGTGACAGGCTTATTAAATCACACAAAAGATTTTTGCAATGTTCTTCAAATAGGCTCACATTGGTTAAACTGTCACCTGCCAGACTGATAAACTGATGACCATATACAACTTGTTCTGAAAAAGTCATAAAATAAATTCTATTTAAAACTACAGAAGAGTTTACTAATTCAGAAGGGGAAAATGATTGTATCTCTTTAAACTATCTTGTAACAAAAGTGAAACACATAAAAGTTAAATTTGAGAACAGTAACTTTCTTACAAGAATAGTGACATTACCTAAAACAATTTTGACTTTTTATGTACAATATAAATGTCTCTTGTCCTAATAAGGTCATCTTTAAAAAGCATTAATGCTATATCACTTAAAAATAAGAAATAACATCAAAAAATTTTCACTCACAACTTTAAGCAAGAAAACATCTAAAACATCATTCTTTCAAGAAACACTAATAAGCTGACCATATGCAAAAATTGAGCAAACCAAGGTAAAAACTAAGCAAAATGTATCACAGTGAATCCATTCGCGTATTGCTCTAAGTGAAAATTATGTGAAAGATAGACTCATTGTAAGAGGAAATTTTATATTTGTATATAATTAATTAATTCTTTTGAGACAGATCTCACTATGTAGCCCAGACTGGCCTCAAACTTATGATCTACTTGCCTCCCCAGTGGCGGGATTACAGGCTTGTGCTACCATGCCAAGTGACTTACATAATTTTAAAAAGCAATAAAAGTTTAGGTTTCAAAGAAAGGATATAGATTATAAACCCATAAACTTACTCAATTTTTCACCCAGCATGTGAAGAATTTCTAGCACCAGCCAATGGATATCTAAGTGGAGATGTAATAAGTGCCAGGATGGTGGATAAAGCTGTGAATGACATTATCAGGTGTAATTCAGAATTCATAATATATTACTTTGTATTTTGCAGCATGTCACAAAATTCCAAAAACACAGGACAAAGAACCACTTACCCTACTACTATTCATAAGTTCAGGGAAAACCTCTGTCTTCTTTACTAGAAGATTCTTTTACTGAAGATCTTTGAAAGCACTATATATTTTTATTTGTTGGTTTAAGGTAGACCCACTCTGGTGCTACTGAATAGACCTGTATAATTATGGTCCCTTCCAACCAACCTAATTCTACTAAAGCTACAAGACAGTAAAATAATTAAAATATGTATTTTCATGAGTGTTCTAAGATTTAGCTAGGAAATATTTTTTTAATATAATGAGTACCCAACAAGTACTATAAAATGTTGTAAAAGGGGAACTTCAGACCATCATGTAAAACCTTATTGTTACCCTCACTCAAAAATGGAAGTTGAAAGAGGTGAAAAATTTTATCTCAATTCATGCATTATGATTCAAACCTAAATCTATCTCACTCAAAACTCAGAACTTTACTGTGCTACAGGGTTATCAATAATCTTCCTGTACAAATAATACAGCGACGTAACATATTCCATTAATACATCTAGAAAGAATGATGGAGAATGAACTTGCCTTATCAGACATACAAACAAAATAAAATGCTACACTAACAAAACAATACTAGCACAGGAATAGATAACAAACAGCAAGGATAGGGAAGGTGAATGTGGACTCTCAAGTTGGTGGAGAAAGCACACAGGTCATTCAATAAAAGATAGGGTTATTAACTCATCCATTTGCAAGAAATTAAAGTTTAATTTCCCACTCCACTGCACATTAAAAAAAAGTGTTGAATTGATGCCATAAATGTATAAACCAATTAAAAAAAAAAAAACAGCATGGATGATGCCACAGAAAAAAAAAACAACAAATGTAATGATATCAAACATGTAAATCATCTATCTGGGAAATTGGCTTAATTGGTGAAAAAGATAAATAGAAAGTTTGTAACAGACAATATCCAGTCAGTAACAACTCAAACATTTTCTAAAAGTCTTCTAATAAGACAAATGCTTAACTGGAAATACTAAGACTTTTCATATACAAGATTGATAAAAATATAATAAATATATACAAAGTCTTAAAAATGAATTTTATTTGTAAGATTTTTGTTTTAGAACAGAATTTTACTGTATCATTTCAGGTTTTTTTTTTGTTGAAGTCTGTAAGCTCCCCTGCTTTAAAAATTCAGTCTTCTGAGATTCAAATAACCTATCTTTTCAAGTCTGCCTAATTAAAAAGCCCACGTAAGGCAAAATCTTATATGAGGACCCTTGTGTACAAGTGTCTGTTTCTGCTGCTAAATAAATTATTCATTTTTATTTTTTCATGCATTTGATGAATTCCAGAAAAACCTGTCCAATTTATAGAAAGAAAAAAGGAAAAATATCCCTCCTCCCACAATCTATCCATAAATCTTTATTATATGATAGAATTAAAAGAATTACTGGCTCACACATGTTAACCTATCAATTCAGTTGGAACTATTTACTTTCATTATTGTATACTGACCTCTGATAAAAGAGTAAATTTTTTATTGCTTTTGTTAAATTTCACAGAAATATATATAAACACTTAATTGTATCTTACTTTTTGGCAGACATTAAATTTCTACAAATTTAGTATTACTCAAATTAGTGGAGTCAAATATAACAGAAGGGATTGGGAGTTCACATAATCTCAATGTGAATTATCATAATTTATCATTTACTTTTGCTCCCATTGTATGGAGAATTTGTTATTTATCAGTATCAATTTTTTAAAAATCAAGCTTCAGAGTGAATGTCACTTGCAGAGAAAAAAAAAGAGCATAGTTAGAACAATCTGAACTACAATCTAAAAAGGTCTCAAAAATCAGAATACACATAATGATGTAGCTTTGAAAGTGTACCTTTTTTTTTTTTTTTCCAATGCTGGAGATTGAACTCAGGGCTGTGCACATGCTAGGCAAGCACTCCACCACTAGACTACAGCCCTAGTGCTGTAAGTATACTTTTTTATGAGATGAGTTCTCAAATCTTACTATCTTACTATATTATATAAATGAAAGCTTGCCCAAATCTTTTATCAATGGAGATGATAATCTTTAAAAATAAAGATTATTTTTTATTTGAAACTTTTAAACATTTGCACTATCAAATAGAAAAAGAATAGCCACTGATGTTGTATACAGAGTTAAGCACTTAGTTAATTCTTCCCATAACTCTAATAAGAGTTATATAGATAGGGAGACTGAGGCAATAATGTCACATGTCCAAAGCACGTAACTAATAAAAGAGATTTCATTTTAGGCAGTACCTGGTACCAAAGTTGCACTCTTGACTAATTTCTTCCATTCTGGAGTAAATATTCTTTGTAAGGAGAAAAAGCTGTTAATTTAAAAATTAAATGAAAACAAGTCAAACCTTAATCTGATTTTGATTTACAAATGCTCCTAGATTAATACTGGGAAGTTCAGATAGATGTCCAATATACAAAAGTAATCCATGAAGTTCATCCACCAACTTTGATGGAAATTGAGCCTCCAAAGCCTCATAGGGATGGACAGGACCATAGCTTTCCTCAACTTGTACTTTCAGGCACCTAAGAAGTGATTAGATACAATAAACAGAGTGTGGAAGAATATACTCATAGAAATTCATGCAGTAACTAATATAGTGATCTGTCATCCTACCTGAAGATGAAAACTTTAATATATTGGAGAAATGTTACACACTGCTGCCTAATATTGTCTGCTTTGCTGTGCAGGGTAGATATCTTCCCTGAAACCAAAACAAACAATGTTAATCATAGCTTAAATAATTATCAGTGGACAGTGACCAAAAATTCTGTAGCTATACCAGCAATAATTACCTTTTAACTTTTGCCACTGATCACCACCTATGTGTTTTTTGCCACTACTGCTCCAACACTGCTTTTATGAAGGTCACCATTGTATTGCCCAATTTAATGGCTATTACCTTACCCTCAAAGTAGCACTGACTATATCTGGCTTCACTGAGGCCACACATTGACAGTATTCTTTCTTTTTCATGTACCCTTTTTTTCCATCTTTTTACCATTTCTTCCTCCTCAGTTCTACTAGCAAGAGATCTCCTCAGGGCTCAGTTATGAGTTGGCCATCTCCACACAACAGTTTCTATATATATGATTTCATCACATTAGTTCCTTTGCTAATAAATGATACTGACTCCTATATCCCACACTTTTTTTTGTATATCCCACACCTTGCATACCAAACTATACTGTACTCAGACTTTATTGTTTGGCACACAGAATGCTTAGACAGTGCCAGTAATACATCATTCAATTGTTTCCAAAACCAGTTCATGCTGTCCTTGTAGCCTGTATCATTTTCATTCTTCAATTTCCTTTAGCCTCATATCTAATCCATCAGTCTAATGAAGGTTACAAACAAATATACCATGAAACTATCAATTTTCCTATAATTTCTTAAAGCACTACCAACAAGATTCCTAATAGGACATCTTCCGTTACCTCTTCATAATACACAAAATGTGCTATGTACAAAATATGCTTACCATGTGTATTAATTCCTATTGCTCCCAATTCAAAACTTATGAAAGCATACCAACTATATTTAGAATGAAATCAAAGCTCCTAATAATGATTTATATGGCCTTACAGGACCTTTAAACAGTTTGTATCCTTTTCCCAATCTCATCCCTTCCAGCCATCTTCCTCTCATTTATTTTAACATTTATATCAAGAATGATCCAGGTAACTACTATATGCAAAACACTGATAACTACTATGATGAGTAAGACACAAAACTAAAGCAGAGAAAACATGATGAGAACTACAGGCAATAAATTCTCACACATATTAAACGTATAGTAAAACTTATTTCTAAGTTTCAATTCATATGAGCAAACATGACTACTAGTTTGGTAAATTACATATTAAAGTGTACTTTAGTCAAATTTCATCAATAAAAAGTCATTTGTTCCCTGCTATGGTCTGAATGTTATTTGTCTCCTCTGAAACTCATGTTGAAATCTGACTGCCATCATGGTGGTGCTGTGTGGTAGGGGACTTTAGAGCTGATTAGATCATTAAGAGGGATTAATTCCATCTCACAGGAATGAGTGCCCACTATTTAAGACCAGATTAATTACTAGTACTATGGGCTGCTATAAAGTTAAGGCCACCCCTCATGTCTTATCAGTTTTGCACATGTCTGTGATGCCATCAGCCATGTTATGATGTAGCATGAGGCCCTTCTCAAATGCAGCTGCCAGATTTTGAACTTTCCAGTCTCTAAAACCAGTCTAAATAAACCTCTTTTCTTTATAAATTACATAATCTCAAGTATTCTGTTACAGAACAGAAAACAGACAAAGACAATTCCCCATTTTCACAATTCACAGTTCCTAAAAGCAATAGTCTCTATACTAACTGTCATAGAGTTCTGCAAGATGGAATAAGAGAATCAGATTTATTCATCTCCCACCTTAAACTTGAAAACCAAAAACAAAATAAAATAAATTTTCAGGCATTGGACACAAGGCAATACAAGATTGCAATTCCAGAGAAAATGCGAGCCCTATAACTGTATCAGCTTCTCATCTAGAGACAAGTTTCTCCATCTACAAACAATTTCTCCATCTAGAGATAGTTTCTAAGTTGTGGTACAGGGAAAGAGGGCAGAGATACAGTCCAACTCAGTGAGTTAAGGAGACATGAGATTGAGAAATCTAAATTTATAGGGCAAAAGTACCAAAAGAGAAAGAAGCCAAACAAACAGGAGCTCTGGAGATGCACAAAGTTCCCTTCAGTCTGTGTCTGAGTCTGTTTAATAACAAGAAAAAATTACCTAAGACTATAGAAAAACCCAGAAAACAATTTTCTATGAAGACTACAGCAGTCAAGGAATAGCTCCCACCAACAAAAATAAAAAACAAAACAAACCTCATAATACTCAAGGCACCAGGCCCTCAGAAGCCTTACCAGTCTGCTAGGCTAGATTACCATTAAACTAGAAGTTGTTTTTAAGACACCCTAACAAAATTTAAAACAAGCCTCGAAAAGAGCCAGGGGATTACAAGTATTCAGTAGCAAGCTGGAACAAACTTTAACATCTAGCTAGAAGAGTATAAAAGAAATTCAGAAAGCAACAATATAAAATTCATAATGTATATCATACAATAAAATATTACTATTCAAAGAGGCAGAAAAATATAACAGAACTAGGAGAAAATCCAACCAAAACAAACAGATCCTGAAATAACAGTGATAAGTGTTTGTGAGGCAACAAAGTTACAGTAATTATACATATATTCCATATATTTAAGATGGATAAAAACAAACATGAGGACAGAAGAAGATAACTTTAAAAATCCAAATTTCTAAATAATACACAGCACTACAATGGCTAGAAAGTAGAAGCAGCTAGCCTGCAACAAAACACACTGCTATTCGATTTTCTTCAGTACCTTAACCATACCAATTTACAATCAAGAAAATAATAAATGCCAAAAGCAAAAAAAAGTGGAAAGCAGCTGGGTAACAGTGACTCACACCTGTAATCCCAGTTACTCAGGAGGATGGCAGTTCAAAGCTAGGCCAGGAAAATTGTTCTGAGACCCTATCTCAAAAAAAAAAAATAGGCCCTGAGTTTAAGCCCCAGTACCACAAAAAAAAAAAAAGAAAAGAAGATCAGGAAGTTAGCAAGAGATCTGTTCCTTTTTATTTCTTGTTTGTGTTTTCCATTCCACTCCCCACCTCCAGAGGAAATACTAACTCACTTCAGAATAGTTTCTTTAAGACACTTTTACTTTTAAAATCTACATATTTGAAAAAAAAATACTAAAATTTCAGCTGCAACAAAATTTAAATGTTACAGTTTTTCAGAACACTAAAGACACTGTATCGTGAACTTCTGACCGAACATTTCCTTCACATTATGAAACTCCTACATAATCATATACTCATGTGAAATTCACTCTAGTGGAGCAGCATTCCTTTTTGTGATTAAACTTTAAACTTACCAAAATCACAGTTGGCTTGTAATAAGGTTTCTAAGTTGTACAGTTGTTGCCTAATTTAAAAAAATGTAATGTGAGAGTTAATTTTAGCAGTTTAAATAATGTAACAATTACATGAATAATGTTTCTACTATATAGCTTCCACACCTCTGTGGATGATATTTAATACTTTGTGAATGCTTATTAAATGTGATCTTTAGGCAATGAAAATTTTGAGATGATAAAATACACTTTTGTTTGACCTTCCAAAAATACCTATAAAAGATATGTAGAACTCAGGAATTATGTCAATTACAGATTTCAGTATAATGAGATACTGTTTATATCTTTAGGAAGCTTAAAATATATAAAGATATTCTTGGTTAAGTTTTATAATGAAATGTTAAGTTGTATCATACAGCTGCACTAGGGGAGTCAGAAAATAGCATTATAAACTAAAGCCATCATGGAAACCTATATTTATGCTGTTTCATCTTTATTTCCTGATAGTAATCTCCTCTTGTCATTCTCCCTCATTACCTTCAAACTCTTTTTTAAAAACTGGCCCATATTCATGCCTGTGTCTTGGATAAAGACTCATTCACTACAATGTTCAGGATTACAAAAAAATCACTCAGCTTTCTCTCCCCAAAAAAATACACGTAACATCAGAAACATACAGTGCTGTCTCCTGATATGTTCTAATGGAATGAGAGTGGAAGAATACCCAGGACATCTCCATTTTCATTTAAATGTACCATATATACATTTTTAATGTGCTTTTGGATAATTTGCTTGAAACACCTGATTGGAAAATCAATTAAAAGCTGAATAAGGCCTGTGTTTTAAATAATGAAAAGTTAATTTAATTTTGTACATTTTGCAAATGACAGTGCTACTGTTCAAAATATTCCATATTTTTATTAATTTATTCATTTTTGGCAGTACTAGGGTTTGAACTCAAGGGCTCATGCTTGCTAAGTAGGTCCTCTACTACTTGAGCCACGCCCTCCCAGCCTTTTTGTTTATATTTTGTTTTTGAGATAGGTTCTTGCTTCACTGGGGCTGTCCTGGAACTGGCAACTCTGCTGCCTATTCCTACGTAGCTTGGATTACAGGTTTGCCACCATACGTGGTCAAATATTTTTTTAAATGTTGTCCAAAGAGAGATTTAATCATATTTTTATTACACAGGTGGAAGGAAATATTTGCAAAGTCTATCTTCTAAAGATCACTGAAGGACTGTAGCCATTAAGCAACAAATGTATTTTAATTTTCTCGAATATTTGCCTTCAATACTTGATACCAAAAACAATTAGCTGGGGATGTAGCTCAGTGGTAGAGTGCTTGCCTAGCATGCACAAGGGCTTGGGTTCCATCCCCAGCATGCCAAAAAATTCAAACAAACAACAAAAAAAGATTTTGAAAATCAGTAGAAAGCAACTCATTAAAAACACAATTCTATCATCAATCACTGCTTTGTTATTGCTGCTGGCAAAATAATCAAGTAAGCAACAAGCACTGTATCTTCTGCAATCAGTATTAAAATGCACCCAGCAATGTAACTTACAAAACTGAACAGTCTATACTCACAGGCAGTTAAAAGAAAAAATTACATACACACCTGAATAAATGAAAGAGCTCTCTACATGAATTTACTAATGCTGTTTCAGTAACCCATTGGATACCAAATATTTCCACTGTATCCTCTTCAAAATTAGTTGGTAAAGGATCGAGATTTAAAAATAATCTGAAATGAAAATACCAATTTAATCACTTGAATCCGTACTATACAATGACATATATAATAAGTCAGAAAATGCTTTGGTTCCTTACGCACTCTGAATTAGTGTAGCTAGAATATATTAAAATTGCATTACTATATGATAATAAAGTATAGTTAAAAAGCAATGTAACTTAAGAAAGAAGCTAAAAAAGCATTTTTGGCTTTTCCTAGTATTTCATCCTTGGAGGGGACATTTAAATTCTTAAAATAGATAAAAGTCATTCTGAGATATGGCTGGAAAATAGCATAATCAGGTTGTGCAATCTCAGGGTTTCTAACAAGGTACAACTATAAAATCAACAAAAAAGTTTACTTCCTAAATGAAAATGCCAAAAAACTTCAAGAACAGCAAGTATACTGCAATAGAGATATATCTGATTGATGCTAAAATAATTCCATGACTTATATATGTACAGGTACTTGGATTGGAAGGAGGCAAAAACAACAAAAAGTGTGTCTTGCTTAAAAAAAAAAAAAAAAACCTGAAAAGTTATTATCACTCTTTCAAAAGGCAATACCATTTCAAAAGGCCCTGGTGGTTCAGAATTCCAAGTAACACATATATTAGTTTCCAGCTCCCAAAGCCAAAGCTGAGGTAGCAGTAAGATAAGAAAACATCAATTACCGAGGAAGTTCTCCTTAATACTCAAAATACTTTTAAATATGATTTAACCAGGAAACTAACAACAGGACTAAGAATAATTTCAACCTTTATAATATACTAAGCCTATTTACAAACATGGCTTGGTAAACACCAAAGTTTAAAGGATCAAAGCGTAACTAAACAACATACCTAACGAACTGATGAATAATCTGATGAGGGAAAAAGTCTTCAATTTATTTTTATACCTACCGCTTAAGGGTTCCACTGGCAAGGTAGGACTCTCCAGAAAAATTCTTTCCTCCTCCTCTGTTGTCAAAAGCACAAGAAAAGCAAGGGGGTTTGTACCACTCGGTCTCCAGCTCCAGCTCTAAGCTGTCGGTCAGAAACGCGGACGCAGCAGAAATGCCATCCATTATTTACATCATGTCCTAAAATGTTTGTAGTTTGTGTTGATTATTATGGAGGTTCCAAAGAAAAGTTGTAAGCGGATTCCTGGAAGTGGAACCGAAAGGTTAAGAACTCCGAAAGTTCCCCCAGCATAAAGAAAAAAGCGAGAAGACAAATCCCCAAGAATTCCCCGCTCCCGGATTCCGACCCCCCCTACACACACACACACACACACACACACACACCCTCCACACGCACACCCCAGATCAAGGCTGTCAGACAAGATGTTGTCCCTACAGCCGGTGTCACAGACCTAAAATTTGTCCTCTAGGCGGGACTCCGCAGCCTGAGGCAGGGTGAAGAACCCGGCTCAGGGAACCACGGTGGTGAAGGAAGCTTGGGTGCAGGCACAGGTGACAATCGGGAGCGCCACGCTGGGCACCAACTTCCTTCCTCTCAGCGCGGGGACAAGACCTACCGGCGGCACGCAGGCGGAAAGTAAGGGCACCTGGCGTCCCCGGCAACAGGCTGCAGCCAGGCCCCCGGGCCTCCCGCTGCCCGCGCGCGGTGCACGTCGTATCGGCTCTCTCTTCAGTCCCCGAGAACTTCTTTCCCCGAATCTACTTCCACGATGAGTTCCCGGGATAAAACCGGAAACAGGCGAAATTCCCGCGCTCTGGAGAGGCGGGGCCATGGCACGACCCGCCCCCGAATGATGTCCTCTCGCGAGATATTTACAGAAACTTCTTGCACTCCCCGAGATCTCGCGAGAGTGCGTTAACACTGGCTAGAAATACGGGCGCACTGTTTTCTCTCGTTTTATCTTTAATTTGCGTGAAGGCGGGGCCTCGTTAGCAAGGAAAATGTAAAGAAGCGAAGATGAGGAGACTGTAGGAGCAGCCAGGGCCGTCCTAGGAAGAACATTACTACAGTGAGTCAGGCAGTTTCTCAGACACACGCAGAGGGGGTCTGTCTCTCTTCCTTCGGGTCTAGGTTGAGGCCAGGATTCCTTTTGCTGTGGAACGAGGGCCAGACAGCACAGGAGAGCAGTGAATCCTGTTTGTGGAAACACTGAATAAATCAGGTGGCCTTTTCCCTAGGTATAAAAACTGTTGCTTCCTTCCTTTGCAATGTATATGAACAAAATCACGATTTTGTAAAAATATAGTTCATTCACAGCATTTTGGATTTTTTATATTTTAGCAGTACTGAGTTTGAACTCAGGACCTTGCTCTTGCTAAGTAGGCACTCGATGGCTTGAGCCATGCTCCCCAGTCCTTTTCTGTCTTTTTAGAACGTTCTTTAAAGTTGACCCCTCAGGCTTTTCACTGTAAGTCAGAAGTAACACACTGCGGTATATCACCATCTTGCGATTTAAGGAAACACAGAATTTCTCATTCATATGCCAGCTGTAATTTAAGTAGTCAACATTGCCCATTCTTCCACAATACAGATTTTCTTGTGTTCGGTTCCTGCATAGGGAACCTATCATAACTCTTTTCTTTTTATATTCAGTACTGCATGTTTTCTAACAGGTGAGATGCAGTGAGAAAAAAACAGCATGATCACTATTCCCACCACAGTTTAGGGCTACTGTAGTCAGTGTTACATTTTTTCTGCTCAGCTGATGTACTGATGCTTTGTTGACCACTGCATCTCCTTTATGATCCATAGTGAGTCTAGACTGTAGAGTGACACAGTGTCTTCCACAAAGACCCCAATGAAATACTGGTTTGATATGAGAATATTGTGCCCTGGCAAAAATATTGTCCTTCGTCTAATCAAACATCCAAATAGATTCCTATTTTTCTTTTTAAAGTGTGAGTGGCCAACTTGCTTCAATACAATGAGTGGATAATAAGCTCTATACATAATTTACTACGATTAGTATGTTAGTAAGAAACTGTCAAGTAACAGATATGTTAAGAGGGGTGATTGAAGCCTACTTAATGAAAGGATCATTTACCAAGGTGTAGAGAGGGTTACCAGAGTATAAAAAGTGATAGTAAATCACCCAGAACTAGAGTGTCATGATCACCATTAGGCCTGAGGAGTAAGGGGGAAGGAGGGTCATGGTCTTGGAGTGGAGTCTGGGCTAGAAGTGAAACTGGTCAAAGAAGGATGGAGAGTGTACTTGTTAGAAAAGGGTCAATTTTATCAAAGAAAACATAACAATACTAAATACAAATCTATATATACAACAGTATATGTAAAGTAAAAAATACTGCTACAGGAGAAATACTCAAATCAACAATTATTTCTTCCATTCATTAATGAATTTATTTTATAATTATTTTCTGTACCTGAGAATAAAGTAGTGAAATATAAGACCTAGGTTCCTACTCTTACAACAGTTTGTATTCCAGTAGAGCAAGAGAAAATAAGTAGATAAATATTGTAATTTCAAATACTGTTAAGTGTCATGAAGGAAATATAGGTTATATGGTAGAATCAGTGAACATAGCTGTTCGATTATGTCTCTTGCTATATTATCTACACCTTTACTTTTGTTGTGGTAAAATTGATACAATAAAGAGTAAACATAAGTGGAATGGAACAAAAGAAAAAGGAAATAAATGAAACCAAAAGTTAGTTCAAGGAAAGATCAACATATAATTGATAAGTCCTTCTAGCCAGAGAGATCAAGAAAAAAAAGAGAGAAGACACAAATTACCAACCTTAGGAATTAAAGAGGTTTCATCACCACTGATTTTACAGACATTAAAGGATAAAGATATAAGAACATTATGCCATCTGAGCTTGATGGTTCATACCTACAATTCCAGCTACTTGGAAGACAGAGTTAGGAGGACCCCAGTTCTAGGCTAGCCTAGACTAGGAAAAAGAAAAAAGCTAGGGAGACTCCATCTCAAAAAATAAGCTGGGCATGGTGGCCACACCTGTAATCCTAGCTGCATGGGAGGGAGAGGTAGGAGGATCTCAGTCCCAAGCCAGCCCTAGGCAACAAGTAAGACCCTGTCTGAAAAAAAATTCCTAAAGCAGAGAGGGATAAATGTATGAATCAAGTGGTACAGTGCTTTGTTTCTTAGCAAGTGAGATGCCCTGAGTTCAAAACCCCCAGTATCACCCTCCCCAAAAAGCATTGTGCTAAGGAACAAAAATGACATAGACAACCACTGAGAGACACAAACTACATATGCTCATAAAAAATGAAAAATGTAACTTGAGTAGCTCTATAATCCATCATAGTAATTTGAGTCTTTGGTTGATACCCCAACTCATCCCAAACACACACACATGCGCGTGCGCGCGCACACACACACACACACACATACACATACACACCAAAATTCTTAGAAGAAAACAATCCCAGAACTAAGTGGTTTTATTGTTAAATTCTCCCAAATATTTAATAATATTTAATAAAGGAATAACACCAATTCTTTTTTCTTTTTTTGGTAGTGCTGGGGATTGAACCCAGTTCCTCATACTGGGTTCTAGGTAGGTGCTTTATCACTGAGCTACATCTCCAGGTTGGATAATACCAATTCTTCTAAAAAGTAGAAAATTGAATTCTTCAGAACTCATTTTATGAGGCTAGCATTACACTGATATCACAGTCTGAAAGCTAAGAAAAGAACATAATAATCCAATATCACACACTAATATAGAGACAAACATTATTTCAAGTCAAATCCAGAAATACATTTTAATTGACATATGATAAGAAAGGTTCATCTTAGGAATGCAAGGTTAGTTCAAATTTCAAAAAGTAATCCATGAAGATCATTGTATTAATATACCATAAAAGAAAAGAAATAGCCACATCATCACAGTAGATGAAGAAAAGTTACCTGAAAAAATTCCATATATGTCCATGATAAAACTCCCTAACAACTAAGAATAAGAGAACATTTTCCTAGCTTGTTATTTGATATCTATAACAACTGAACTATTGATATGAACTTAATCATGAAAATGAATGTTTTTGTCCTAAAATTGAGAACAAGGCAAGGATGTTTGCCTTTTGTACTTCTCTTTCAACATTTTACTGGAGGTAATTTGTCAGTACAATAAGGTATGAGAAAGAAATAAAAGTCAGATATATTAGAAATAAAAGTGAAAAAGAAGAGGTAAAACTATCTTCATTTTTAAATGACAAAAGTTAATCATATAGAAAGTTCTAAAGAAGCTTCACAGCTACTAAAACTAATAATAAATTCTGCAAGATGGCAGGGTTCAATGTTAATATACAAAAATTGTATATTGTGTAGTAACAAATGTGACCATATCACGCCTTTTCTCTCTTCAAATCTCTAACAACTGCTTTTTGCTCACTTACAGTTAATGTGTCAGAGAAAAAAATAGATGAAACAAAACAAGAACTCAACTTTCAACTGCCCAGATCAACAACTTCAGCCATGTTGCAATGAAAAAATTTTCACTGATCCACCAGAGCCCAATCATTTGTGTAGTGAATCTCACCCTTTCTCATTCTCTCACTACCTTTACTCCTATAAATGTTTCCCTTCTCATCTGCATCATGAATTTTCCCCTTTATATCAAAAACATGGTCTAATATATCCTCTTTCAAAATACCGTCTTTTTTAATACCGCCTTCCCAAATACTCATTACTTGGATATAAACATTGTTTTCTTAAAAACAATTTTTGTTTCATCTATTTTTCTCTCAACACATTAACTGTGAGAAAAAAGTGGTTGCTAGAGATTTGAGGAGAGAAAAGGTATGATATAGTCACATTTGTGAGTTAAAAATTATTTACTAAGGAAGTATGGTAGGAATGTCTGAAAGTGCTCATTAACCGGTTTAAATTTATAGTTAAAAAAAGAAATAGAGCTCAGTCAGCATGGTTTTCTCATTCATTTCACCATTAAAGATATATTGAAATAACTAAACTTAGTTATGGCTTTTAGTACTGTGTTACTGAAAAATATGAGCAATCTATTGCAAGTGTTCATACAACCCACCTTCAGCTGACTTTCTGTTGATACATGCTATTTTATTGCACTAATTTTTTTCAATAGATGACCTCTTAACCCCTTAAGTTCTATACCCTGGCCCACATATCATAGTTTAACCACCTACTTAAGTAGCAACTGAAAGTTTTAGTTAAGGAGCATCTTTCCTACATAATGAAAGCAATTTTCAGGTGTAATATTCAGGGGATTAGGTCATTAACAATGTAATATGCCATATAGAACCCTTAACAAGCCTAAGCATGAGAAAACAATTATTATATATCCTTACTCATTTTTCTATAGCTTTAATATTTTCCCCTCTAGCATGTCCTTTTATCCCATTTCCTTCTACCTCTGTGTATTTGATAGGTTAATTATCCCTTTAACTTTTACTTTAGAACTTTTCTTCTCCCCTGTATTCTTTCCCTAGGCCTCATCTTCTAACATGACTCCCAACAATATCTGCTACCTGGTATTCATGCCATTGCATAATTTTCTACCTTTGTGTGAGGCTGAACCTAATGAATAGAATAAAGCAGAAAGTGAAGAGACAGTACTTCCATGCTTACAAGAGACTGTGAGATGCACCCTATTATTAGCACTTTCTCCCTGTTGCTTCTTTGGTTTGTTTAACTGATGAAGTAAACTGTCATACTAGA